TAATTGTCGTCTTTGATACTAGTTCATTCGGAGAATTACATTAATAATCCGGACTACAATGAGATATTATTCAGCTATTATTATTATTTTAACACATAGATAATGGTACAATGAGGCACCAAATACATATGCACCACACAAAACTCATTCGATATGTGTGAGGGCTGTGATACTGCACGGGTGCCCAAACTGAAGCAGGTGGTTTTCTTAGAGGGACCACTCCCCGAACCTTCGACCTGAAGGTCTGATCCACAAGGCAGTGGAGTATCATAAGGAGATGCAGTCCCATGGAAGCCGGTGACCAACAATTGGTTCATACGCCATTTGTTCCCGCTGGATACTGAAGCCCATGTGCACCATTGGTGCCGGACATTCACTCTTTGTCCTCTCAATTTTGTAAACAACACTCCCGTCATGAGAGAGCAGTGAGTAGGACTTCCCTGTCAGTGATTGTATGCACGTGACCACTTGAAAGCATTTCAAGAGGGAGAGCTGACTCTTCCCACTTTCGACTATACCAGGATATTTAGGATCTAAGCTTGTTAGAGAGTATAGCCTCCTATTGTATTAGTTCACCGTTTAATCACTTATGAGGTGTTATATTCAGAAATACGATGTATTTGCATGGTTCTACGCCTAATTATATATATATATATATAACTGAAATGATTTCAATAGAGTTTATCATAACATGTTTTGTTTTAAAAAACAACATTTCTTTTCTTATTTTTAGCATGAATTAAGGTTATCAAACAACAATAACTTGTCCAAACAAGTAAATGATAATTACTATGAACCTTCTATTCTATTCTATTATCAATTTAATTAAAATGTATAAGTAATAGATGATAAATGAATAATTAGACTAATTTAAGTTGGTTATTATTATTATAATAAAAAGTTCCAGGTCGATGAATGAAGTAGCTCTGTAATATAGTTGACTCACTAGTCTAATTAATATTTCATATTGTGGTTATTCAGCTTCTTTGTGTAAAAAAACAAACGGTTAGATTAACATTTCAGAAATGTATATTTTGATAGTCATCAAAACATTGACCAGTTTTACATTGGGTTTTTTAATTGATCATTAATTGTGTATCATAACTTCGAGTGATTTATACATTTTAAAAAAAAACCCAGTCAGTCAGCTACAACGTAGGACCAGGAACATAGATATGCATCGGTCCAAGTTGTCATACCTCATTAACACAACAAGATGAACACCAAATTCATAGAAGTAGTTAATTCAGTGGTGGTAATAGGTAAAAGAAAGATTGCATATAAAGATATAGTACAGGAAGAAAGAATTAGTTCGTAAAAAGATATGAAGTGATTTTAATCTCATAGTTTAAGGGAAGACGGGGAGTGTATACACCTACACCATTGTGATCGATTCTGAGCCATGTCATCCACAGTCTACAACCATTGGTTACAATAGTCACGCGGATCTCAACTAAGTAGTCTGCATCTACCAACATGGCTCAGACTAGAAGTTAGTGACCTTGTGGACTGATTCTACGTTTTATTTTCGCCACCCCTGACTTTTTTTCCAACCATTCCCAACACTATTCAGCATTGCACGTCGTGGTAATAGGTGTTCAAGTATACGTAACACGTGCCCCAACCATCACAGTCAATAAAGATTCACAACCTCATCAACTGATTTACCATCATTCCCTAATACCCTGCGTCTAACCTCACTATACTTACCCCTCGGCGATCGCAGCAGATGCGAGAAATAAATTTTTTTAAAAAAACAATTACAACACAACTCATACATCAAATATATTAGGTGATAAGAACGTTTTGGAAGATCAAAATTGATAATGAGCACGGAAGAATAAACGGGGATTGATCACAGTTTAAAGGCATTTTTACGCATATATTTTTTGAATGGATAGAAAATGAGGATTGGCTGTAATATTGTATACTTTGGGTTGAGAATTCTTTACTGTTAATAAAAATATGGTACTGAGTAAAGCTACAACTATTATCATTAAACTTAGTCATACTGTGGTGTGTGTTGCTTATGTTGACAAATATAAGTAGTACACAGCACCATTCGTAAGTGTTATGCATGCCAGTAAAAGATTCAATTAAAGAAGACAGAAAGTAATTGTAATAACAACAAAATTGAAAGAATCATGAGTCTTGTAAAGCACAAATGATGGAAAATGTACGAATTATGTATTTATTGGATGGTTTTCATATTTTACGAAAGCACTTCAATTTTGCATTATACAATGAATTGGTTTTCCCCACCTGAGTTCTTCGTTCACTACAATACTAGCAACAGTTGTTATCCTTGAAAACTTCTTTTAATAGACATTCAGACCCCTATGTGATTTCCCAGTTTCCTTTACTTCAATTAGAGTAATAAAACTTAGTCGACAAAGTATTCATGAGTATGAAACATTGACAACTTCGATTGACTTGATCTGTAAAAGTTTCTTCCCAATGTTTTAGCTGCTTACTTTTAATGACTATCGAGGTGCCGTTTTCTTTGGTGGTAATCTTGAATAGTAAATTGCCTGAATGTCAACAGTATCCTTCCGACTACTGTTACATGTCATCGAAGAAACAGTATTTTCATATTGTGGCAAGCTATTTATTCTTGTACAACATGGAAGTATAACTAAACAAGTATACTAACTGATCACCAATGTTATGTCTATTTAATCCTCAGTACTGATCGAATTCCTAGGTTTCAATGAGAAGGGAAGCGGAAGTTCTCTTAAGATTAAGGGTATACTATTAAGAGAGATAACCCTATCAACACATTCGAGTTACAATCAAGTTTATCTACATAATTGCATCTTTAGATACCTTAAACTACAAGGTAAATAGGCAAATATACTTAGAAGTTTGTAGTTAGGGTTGCATCAATACACAAATACAACAAAGCACATTTATATGCAACTGCAAGTCGTACCAAATCCAAATCTCGTTCAGTGAAGCAAAAATAGAACTAATGACTATATAGTCGACAATATAACAATTACTCTCAATCATTATAAACAGGACACTCGAATCAATACACATTGCTTTAAAATAGTTGACAACTTTGTTCTATTTCTAATTGTCAATCGATTATGTAAACAAGGTGATAGGTAGCAAAGAATCGATTACGACCAATTAGCCATAGTTAAAAAGGTGGAAGAAATTCAGGGATATTGACATATTAAAACTTTCATAAATAAACTTCAAATTCTACCTGTTTGACGATTTGCTTTGTTATTAAATGCACTCATTCGAACACTGAACAACCTTGTCACTCCAGTTTTGGACATATTCAGGGTAAATTATTTTCAATATTCACGTTACCACTGCGCTTGATTGATATTTTCCAAGTTTACGCAATACGTAATCCATCTACTGAGTTCACCTTTATGGACTCCATTTCGATGCATACGTTTTTGAAGAATAAACATTCTACTGGACTGCTAAGACCGATTTAGTTTTGACTGGACTCAGATCTGTGACCTGATGATTGGAAATCTACTTTTAACCACTGTCAAACATTGCTCAACTGTACGATTTCGAGGGAATTGAAGTAACCCTATGAAATCTAAGCCAAAATCATCTATTTATTGTCGAAGGTGGAGACACTACCAATGAACTATTCAGGATCATACAATTAATGAAATAATAAGCAGTAAAATGAATCCTCTCACATAGCCACGCGTATATAGCCTCTGCCAGGGAAGTCCTACTCATTGCCTTCTCGTGGTGGGGGTGTTGTTTACGAAAATGAGAGGACGAAAAGCGAATATCCGGCGCTTTAACCGGGCTGGGAGTCGGGAAACCCTGATTTCAAACCAACTGTGCACATGGGCTCCAGTATCCTGCGGGAACAAATGGTGTATGAACCAGTTGTTGATCACCGGCTTCAATGGGACTGCATCTCCTTACGATACTCCACTGCCTTGTGGGTTAGACCTTTAGGTCAAAGGCTCGGGGAGTGGCCCCCTAAGAAAACCACTTGCTTCAGTTTGGGCACCCGGGCAGTATCACAGCCCTCACACATATCGAATGAGTTTTGTGTGGTGCATATGTATTTGGTGCCTCATTGTACCAATATCTATGTGTTAAAACAAATAAATAAAATAAATTCAATACACAAATATTTATGTGTAAACATCATTTCCGCTAACTTTATATGGCTGTTAATAAGAGGGAAAATACAAAAAGAAAGCAATGAAAAATGTTTCTCTTCTTTTTTCATAAAAACAATCATAGTTCATTTGAATCACACAGAAAAATATGAAAAACAAAATAGAATACTTAAATTACCTAAATTTGTTGAATAAAAAACAAAGTGGAAATTACATTCCTTAATGAACAGATTGGTTTCTGAGGAAAAAAAGAAGTTTCATTTCATATACGAAGCAGAAAGATGAAGAAATTTTCTAATAACAAGCAATAACCTGTAATTTCATCATCATCATGATGATTAGGTGGGGTGGGGAAAAGTTAGAAGAGGAAAAAACAGTAACAAGTGATTTCCAGATATAAATATGTTTTATACAAATTAACCGTTGTCAACAATTATGTGTGTGTATATTGGACAGATACAATTATATCACAAAATCGTTTCAGATTAAATCCATTACATAATATTTCAGTAGAAATAAACTTTGTCAAGAAACAAGAAACATTATAAATATATATATATATATATATATATATATATATATATATATATATATATATATATATATATATATATATATATATATCCAAAGCCACCTTTAGTTGAAAGGCAGCAAAATATTTCTACTTTTAGTGGTGGTGGGGGTTTAAAAAAGTCAGAATAGAGATTACAGAAAAATAAACAAAATTAAGGACGAGAAAGGCTACATAAAGAAAGACATGTAGTGCAAGACACTTCCTCCTTGAAGAAAGACAAGTTGGAAATTTTATTCTAGGTTTTGTTCCAGGAAATATGGAAGGTTAGACTTTACTATTGTTATTAACAATTATTTTGCAATCTTAGTAAATCATGAAGATGACAACGTAGTTGGTGGCACTGTGTACAGATTGACAGCTGGAGCTGGATCTGGTTGTTTAGTCACAAGAGTTTCTGCAATATTACTATCATTGTTCATAGGCATTTCAAAATTTGACTCGTCATAAGCCTATAAAAAATTATTATTATCATTACTAGTGGTAGGAGATGAAATAAAATGAAATAAGTACTTCACCTCAATAACTAATCATTCTTGCAGATAAGCGATAGTAAATCTAAGGTGATCTGACGGTTATGGAACTCTACATCTTGTAATTAGGTCGTGAGCTCAAACCAGCAACATTACCTTTGTTCTGTTCGGCTGGGGGATATTTGAAAGTCGTGTATTTAAACTTGTACTTAATAAATTAGATAGATTATACTTATAGCAGCGTTAAGGTGATAATCAGATTATTCTGATCTTGTGATCTAGATAAACATCCGAATACTATGTGTATGTGAATTGACGACAGAAATAACTCCAAGCATTATATATATATACTTTACATCAGAACACATGGAAGAAATAAACAAAGTGGGAATCAGAACATTACAACAAATAAAAGCAACAGTTTAGTAAAACTTTGAGTTTCTAACAACTGTACAACTATGATTCGAAGACCACAAACAGGAATCAAGCATATTACACGGCTTAAATTAGTAGCTATTAAATTTATAGACTGGTTTCTCACCATAGTTCGACTTCGCCCAGGTGTTTTCTTAACCTACCTCGACACTATCTACTGTTTACGTCGTAGTGGGTGGTAACTAGAAATGAGTAACAACTGTCTCAATCACCTCAAAATCACGAGGTTTCACAAGTATATATATATATATATATATATATATATATATATACCAAAAAATCGTCTTTTCCAACCAGCTAGACACACACTATGCGAACAATGCTTCCAAGACATTTATGAACAACGGTTGAAGTTAAAGTATGTTCCAAGAGTAGCAATTCTAGTGGTTCTCTTCAGTGGACAATGGTAAAATGATTTAGCTGTTAACGTTGATTTGGTGACAGTAATCGTCAGCTTAAGCAATCACTTTCTGTCTCCACATATACAGATATATATATCCCGTTATTTACAGTTTCATGATCAATGAATCGAAAATCCCATGTAATAAAAATTGGATAAATCTACAGGTTAAAACTCGAAAGTTAAAGTGATTTCTAAATTTTCCTGTTGGTTAGGTGAACAGTGAACTTACAAAGAGCGTTTACGATAACAAATATACACTCAATAAACACTACAGCTGATACTAAACTTAGAAAACAAATAAGATACCATCTTTTGGCATTTACTGGTCTAACTTCTGTCATGCATTTATCTCATTGAATAAGGACAACTCATTTACCAGGTGCAAATTCATAAGCTTAGTTTTGAGTTCCACTATAATTATGAGGGATAATGTTGCTATCCAGCTGCCCAGAGAGATATGGATGGAGTGGGGTTCGAACCCAGAACTTATTGGATGAAAGTCGAACACCTTTAACACTGTATCACTGCTTAATGTCGTTGCACCGTATGTATGAAACTGAACAGCTCTAATCAAACTGTTCTGGAACAGTTAATGTATTATCAACTCATAGAAACCCATGATGGTCAATGTCCAAGAGCACTTACTCAAATCCAACGCTAATATCGACAACAGTTTGGTCATATCCTGCTCAACCTTCTTTCTTTTATCTTTTACTTTAAATACAACTTTATTTATTATTTATTTATTTCAATACATAAATATCGGTACAAGAGGGCACCAAATATTTATGCGCCACACCATATTTGTGTGTGTGTGGGCTGTGATACTGCCCGGGTGCCCAAACCGAAGCAGGAAAAACAACTTTACTCGGGTACTTCTCAGCATTGTCGCATATACTACAATAAGCATATTGTAGAAATGCAGGACAGGATAGTTAGGTTCGGGTAGCCTGGGATATGAAATTATTATGTGTGACTTCTTAGTCGACCTAAGTTAAGCCGTCACACAGTCATTCGACTTAATCCAATTTTTGGCTTGGGCTAATGAGCAATTTATACATAAAAGTCATAATTACCACTATTAACAGACTCTTTACATACTCTAAACTTGGTATTTTTTTAATACCAATTTTGGTAGATAAACAGACTGAGGTAGTAGGTTTCATGTTTGCAAAAATAATGGGCAACGGGGATCCACACTTGAATTTAAATAATCATACTCCAGTATGTTAATAAAAATCTAACTATCCAAAACATTTGAACGTAAGAAAAGCTACTCAGAGATAGCCCATCTATTTATCTAACTTTTTGCTTTGTTGTTCTCAAACGACCGTTGCATCCCAATATATAACTTTTTCCACGAGGTGTATATAAATTTTAAAATATTAAAACCACATTGAAAGAGTAAGACTTAAATCTTACCACTAATAAAACCATTCAGAAGTATAATGAAAGCGTTTATACGGATTTACGAAATAATTAGAACGTACTTCATTCATTTCATCGGGAACAGGGGGAGTTTTTGGATAATATTTACCACAACAGCAACAACAACAGAAGAAGCAACAACAACATGTCCACAAGAAACAGGTACAAGCAAGGCACTGTAAACAGAAAAAGTCGAAAGTTATGAAGAAACTGAATAAACTCAGAATGGAAACGATAATAATAATAATAATAATAATAATAATAATAATAATAATAATAATAATAATAGTCCTTGTTTTTAAGTTATTATTCACTAAAATCCATCGAAAGACTTTTATTTGTGAGGGACCCACAAACAAAGTAGGACACAGAACAAATTTTTATTTGTACAAGGAACTATACTTCAAAAAGCACCCCCAAAGTTAGACAATATTACGGACAATGATAAAAAAGAACTAACTTTTTCATAATGGTCAACAATTACATTGATCGATGCTATACTGGTCCGTTTTCTAAGAGATTTTTTTATTCAGATTCTATTACAGCAATCATTATGCTTGAACAGAGAAAATTAACATGTATAATAGGTCTCGGCACTCGTAAATGACGACTTTTCAGTCAGTAATTTATAATAAGTCAAGGATCTGGTACATGTGTGTCGGCCTAAGTTGCCACAACAAAACGTTGAAGTTAATATGAATACCAGATGATCTGAAACAACATCAGTAATGATAGTAGTAAAACTAACACAGAGAGGGTTGGATTCAAAAAGGAATGGATTTGAGGGTTAAAAAGTATGTAACGAAACCCAGAAGGCATAATGAAGTAACGAATGAGTGCAACCGAGTTGAGGCTAACTTAACAACGGTCGCTAACTATTGATCACAATCTGGTTAAATTAGAGGGTTAAGCTACGGTAAGTATCATAGTAGTATATTTAGTCTAGGATAAACATTTTTTATGCAATTTGATCTTTTGTGATAGACAACTCTTTCGAACCAAAAATAATCAAACCAAACGAGTACAAAACTGACTGTCACTGTGTAATGAGGTACAATAACGCGGAATTAATGACGCATGCTGTGGATGCAACCTTCAAACAAAATACTAAAAACTGGATGACAGATATCATGCACGACAGATGCGATTGGCAAGTTGATGGTGACTTATTCATTGCTTATTTATTTATATGAACAAAAATATTGGTACAAAGGGGACAAAAGTAATATATTCTGGAACTTTACTGACCGGAATCAGGCATTTGAAATAAACAAGCCTATTTGGTAGGGAGCCAAGTAGCATTTTGTCACGCCTAAAACTAATAACTGCCAGTTTGTGTACTAGACACTAGTCAGTCAGTAACTTGTGTCTAGTACACAATGACCAGAAATTTACACGCGGTTGGAAAAGAGTAGTGGGCTACCAAACATCTGCAAGCCGCTAGAACGAGCACAATAGTTCTGAGTTAGCGACATTTTGGTTGAATAAAAAATGAATTACGAGACTTTCCAAACCACACTACGTACTTGTATACAAGGGTTGCGTAAAGCCAGGTACGGCTGCCAGTCTTCTTCATCAATGTGCTCTGCTACATAAATCCCCAGAGCTCCATACCGGTCATACAATTTCCTCTTCTGTTCGTTAGCTAGTATAGAATGTGCTCTATTGACTTCTTTGAACTACAATCTTGTGTTTTCAAGAAATATACACTATACTTTTTCAGAAGCCCCAGGGTCTTTTAGGTTTTTATCCGGGTGATATTTTAATGCGAGCTGAGAGAATATTAAAATAAGATGAACGTACTTTACGATAGGATTTTTTTATTTCCTCAGCTGTTGCTTTCTTATCTACTTCTAGAATAGCATATAAGTCGATATTTTCCTTCCTATAATATCAACATCAGTTTTGATTCCAACATACGTAGATTTCTTGCTGCTTTTACTATTAGAACCACTGCCCATTGAAGGATCAGTAGGCATTGCCCGGTTGGTGCTGTTCACATGCTCAAGGCCACATCTTGAGATGCCGCTCAAAAGGTCAAATGGTTCAAATTGTTCGAATGATTCAAATGGTTCGAATAGTTGAGGACGGAATAAAAGAAGCTTCCGCTCAACGGGCTTCCGTGTCTAGTAGCAGGGGATCACCAATACCTCCAGGCAGGAACCAAGGTATATCGACGATAATAAAAAAATGAAATCGGTAAATCACAGCAAGATATTATCCTTAGTCCTTAAGAATATGTCATGTTGCCTCTTAAAGGACTCCTGGAAAGTCTCTTGGACTAGCTCAGCCGGCAGCGAACCCCAGCATTTGGCAACTCTTAAGGAGTAGAAGTTGTGTCTACAGTCCGTTCTGCCATGTTGTGTCTCAAGTTTCTGGGTGTTACCCCTTAGATTAGTGTTGGAACTAAGCTTATGTAGGTGTTTAAGAGGGTGTCCAGAAGTGTTAAGGATACTGTAATCCATTAGAAGATCACTTCTAAGACGCCTATACTCTAATGGGTAAAAGATAAGTGGTTGGAGGCGCTCTTCATGAGGTTTAAATTTGAGTCCTCGAATTGATTTCGTGGCTCGCCGTTGCATACGTTCCAGAGTGTCCTTATCCTTTTGGAGTGAGGGAGGAAATACTGTGTTTCCGTACTCTGAATGGGGACGGATAAAACTATTGAAGATTATATGGAAAGTTCTTCCGTCAAACTGGCCAAAAATGCGCTTCAATGTTATCAATGCAAGGTTTGCTCGGAAGGCATTTTTGTCACAGTTAGAGTAAGACCACAAATCGTGGGGTATCAGCACTCCTCAATCTTTTTCAACCTGGAATACTTCTAGATAGGAGTTTCTTAAGTTGTAACTGTAGTCTGCAACATGTCGCAGATGGACTACGTTACACTTTGAAGTGTTGTCGCCTACCCAACTATGAAGTCGAGTCAGACCCTCCTGAAGTGGCGGCATATCCTCTTGATTGCGTATCTCTCTCCAAAGTTTCACGCCATTGGCAAAAAGTAATAAGTCCGAAGTTACCTGTTGAGGAAGATCATTTATGTAGATCAAGAAGAGAAGAGGCCCTAGTACTGAGCCCTGGGGGACCGCACTAGGACATTCCGTAGCCTGAGATAAAGTGGAATTAACCCTGACCTTAAAATGTCGATTTTTCAGGTATGAAGTGAGCCAATCGATGAGAGGTGGTCTGATACCCAATCATTTGAGATTATTGATAAGACATGTATGGTAAATTATGTCAACCTTCCCCTTGCGATCAAGGATGCTTGTCCATCTATCCACCACAGTCAGCCGGTTGGTTATAGAAGAACGACTTCTCCTGAAACCATGCTGTTGGGGTGAAAAGAAGTGTAAGGATAATAAATGGTCGTGTATGCCGTCACATCAGGGACTTCATAATTTCGTAAGGTATTGAGAGAAGGGCCACCGGTCGGTAGCTTGAAGGTTCGCTGCGTCGACCTCCTTTGAAAATTGGCGTGACGTGAACCAGCTTCCGAATCTCCGCTAGTTTGCCTCAGCTTAGCGAGTGTGAGAACACCGCTGAACGGTGTTGCCAGGATTGAAGCTGTTTCCCTCAGTATAGCGAATGAACCATATCCGGGCAAGAAGAAGTGTCTTTTCTTAGGTGCTGCAGTTTCCGGCACAGCGTCTAGGTTCACTTCGGAAAGTCCTGTGTAGTTGCAGATGAAGCTCTCATCAGTATAGTTGATGTGAGTCGGTCGAAATATCCGAGAGTACTGTTCAATCGGAAGGTCAGCGGCGTCACCGTCGTTACAAGTCAGGCCATTAGAATCTAGGTGTTAGGAAACTCCAGTTTTGGTTTGTCGAAGAGAGGCTGCATAACGGAATAAGCTTTTCGGATTATAGACAAATTTATCCATAAGCTTTATCTGGTACTGAAGCCTGTCTTCTCTTATAGCCTTTGTGCATATATTCCTTATATATTTGTTTTGTCTGTACGCGCCGATATTATCAGTTCGTTTGTATTCTGCCAAATTGTGCGTTTCGCGGCTTAGCAAACAAAGAGTGCGGTTCTTGATGACTGTAGGTGGCTTGTAGATTTTGGGGACCGTTTGAGGAATTGACTGCTTTGTAGCACATAAAAGCGTGTGCAGTAAGAAGTCCCAATGAGCATCCACATCAATTTGAGGGTAAACATCCTAATCCACCTGTTGTAGATAGTTCTGTAGAGGTGACACATTCAACCGTTTGAAATTCCAGCGCAAGTTATTGGTGGGATATCTTAACTCAGTTTTGCTGACGAAACTGAAAGCTATAGCGGCGTGATCGCTTTTTCCCAGGGGAGCCAGGATTGAGAGGTTGTCAACAAGGATTCTTCGTTTGTAAATACACAGTCTAAGCGCGATGGTGTCTGACTATCTCTCCAACGAGTTGCTGACTTTACATTTTCGTATAACCCCAAGTCCTCAATGAGGTTGGGGAATCGAGCTTTAATTGAGCTTTCACCTCCAACATACGTATGTTCCGCGGAGTTGACTCTGAAAAGATTGAAGTCCCCTAGAATCAGAATATGAGTGAAACCGAGACGAGTAGAGCAGGATAGTCCTTCCAGCATACGACTGTCATACTCGATGTCGGCAGTGGGCTTCTTATATATGACTCCGACTAGACACCTCGAAGTAGTAGACAATCTTACAGAGCACCATATGGATTCCTCAAGATTGTTAAACTCGAGGTTATGAACTTGGTGTACCTCCGGGCATGATCGTATGTGTAAGTCTACCCCACTCCCAATTCCTGTTTTTCGGTCGTTGCGAAACAAAGACATACCAGGTATTGCTAACTCCAGACCCGTAAACTGAGAAGATATCTAAGTTTCAGATATTCCTATCAGATGAGCCTTATCAGCATTGCTAAGTTCACGTAGCTCATCCATTTTATTTGAGAAACTCGCAGCGTTCATGTACAAGCAGTTTATGCTTTCAATTTAAACGCGCGAGCTTCTCCTTTCTGTTTGTTTGGATGAGCGTTACGTGAATGGACAGGTAGCCTACCTATACAAGGTTTTCCAAGTTGATAGCCCTGCCCTTTACACGTTTTTTATCAAGACGGTCCACAGGTCGAATGGTCAGCTACGACTTGCCTCTGTGCTTGATCCTGGCGTCATGTGTCCTATCCGCATGCATATGGATTACAGTTGGCAGCCGACGTCTGTTGGCACGAAATGCTTCCAGAGTTGCAGCTGCCATATGGGAGGGTGGGAAAGTTGTCTTCATTAGTCGGGGTCTAGAATCTCCATCCTTCCATCCATCCATCCTTCTTGGATAGTGTCGTCACTTGTTGAGTCAGTATGTTTTTGAGCTTCAAGGATTGCTTGATGAATTTCCATTCCCTAATATCAGAGTTTGCTTGATTAGGGTTCGTGTTTTCCGGTACACCTTGCACAATGATATGTCTTCCGCGGAAAAACGTCTCGCGATATTCCTTAGGGATGTTCCGGATGACATTGCGCCCGGAGTACGGTATGTCGGGCAGTATTCTTATGTTCCCATCGAATTTCAGTAAATGACTCGCTAGCAAGACATCCTCTACGTCGGTAGCATTAGTGAGTGTTATACGAAATAGCGTTGGGTGATTTTGATACTTAGATACCTTTCCCCGAGTGAGCCGTGTGACTATCAAAGGCTCTATTCTAGGAAGTCCAAGTTTCTTGTTCAATTCACCTCAGAGCATCCTGTCATTTTTGTCCTGCAGACTGAGAAGAAGGTCAGGGTTGTCTTTGGGGTTCATGATTATGAGAGAGTCATCGCGAACCGTTATTGTTTTCTCAGGTTTTCCGGTGCGTCCAGGCTCAGCACCTTGTTGTTTGGAGTTCGAAGCACGTTTATGAATCCTAGGCTCTTTGATGACCGGACGGACATTCTTGGGGGTTGACTGTGCGACCAAATCACCAGTTGATTTCCATACAACACCAGGGATGTTCAACTTAGACGGTGACGCCTGGTCCTTTTTAGCTCACCTACAGAGTTTTTGGGAGCCACTGTTGCATTCAAGAACCCTGAGCTGGGAGAACCGAGTTTACTGAGGGAGTCGATTACCGTCGACGTGATGATGGTGCCGAGTTTCACCATGTCATAATTAGTGCTAATGCATGCTCCATCGATGGTAGACCTGTCGACATCCCTCTTGGTTTTATTGCGCGTCTTTTTATGATTGTGATTTAGCAAGTTTGCTGACAACTTATCCCTCAGACCTGTCAATGCTGTTACTTAGCAAAACTTCAGCATCCGTGTTGCACCCCACACATATCCACTTATGATCGGATTTGCTGAGTCTGTTGTAAGCAGTTGCTGTGAGATCTGTGCACGCTTCGTGAAACCAACCTTTTCAGTTGTTGCACTGCATGCCAGATGTAACAGCAAAACCGCATCCAGGTCGTTTGCATAAATTTTTCATAACTATATTGACGTAACTTATTTTATAGATGCTAGTAAAAGCATAAGACCGTTAAAAATACACTAAAAAGCACACTTAAAACGGACGAAAATGGGTAAAAACAGTTGAGATAAACTGAATTAGTCTTTACGTGAAGAAGTGAAAAAACGAATAGTATTCTCAGGCAAAACCACTGGTAACTATTAAATTGAGTTAAACTCAAAAAATGTAATCTACTGGACATATAGCTCAGGATAGATTCTTCTGATCAGAAGTGTTACTTTTTTGCGTTAAAAATGGAACAAAAGTTTGAGATATGTGGGGATGCCACAGGTATTCGGAGTTTGACAACGCTTTAACCAGTAGCACATTCTAATATAAATCGTACCCAACAAGTGAAATCAAGAGACAGAAGAGAGGAGGTTCGAAGATATATTTGCTAGGCTATCAATATATCGAGGATCGTCTGATCTAATGTGACTAGCGATTGTTGGGGTTGTTGAACACGGCGTTCTCACTCGTGATCTGATGCGGATTCATGACCGAACGCATTTAGCTAGGTGAGTCCATTGAAACTAATGTGGTTGGCATACAACGTCGGAAATATTATATAGCAAAATAATAAAGTTCAATGAAAATTTTTGTTTCCTCGTAAATCTCATCGTTCTTTTTATCGTCTTTTCCACTCGTCCTGGAAAAGGAAAAAAAAGAATATACAAGTGCATGTCGAAATAAACTCGTACGCGCTTTAAGACACAAAGTGGGCGAAGAAAGGAAAATATCGTAAAAGCGATTTTTACAAAATGTTTTTTTCGCTTTTTAAAAAAATTTTTAATGTACATATTAACAAAATAATAAATATACAAATTTAAGCATATAGAAATTGTTTTTTTATGTTATATATAATGCCATGGAAAATCGAGATGAAGCAAAATTTTAACTTGTGTCCTGTGTGCAATAGTCGTTTAAATGTTCTGGAAATCTTATTCTTCTTCCAGAACGCGTTGTCTTAAGTTTATTTTCTGATACTGTCGAAGTATGGCCGTTCGTGTTGGTTGTCGGTTGAGGTATTATAAGTGTAGGAGCCGTATCGTTTGATTGTACCGAAGGAAAATCGACGTGGATAGGATTTCCTTCTAAATACGCTGCTTTGAGGAGATCGATGCTGATGCTATCCTTGGTTCCGTTCTTGTCGATTATATAGTACTTGGGTTTGCGTTGAAGAACTTTGAAAGATCCTTCGTATACTGATTCGAAAGGTCGTCGATGCGAGTCTCAACATACGAAGACATGCGTACAATATCGTAAGTCAGGTTGAACGAAAACATCGGTGGATTGTGGTCGAATGGAAACAGGTTTAACTGAACGTATTGCGTTTGTAAGCCTGCTCGTGTAGGAGGCTAGATCCATGTTTATTGAAGAAGATGAAGGATCCACGAATTCTCCTGGAAGTCGAAGTGTCGTTCCATAAACCAGTTGAGCCGCAGTGTATCCAATGTCAGCTTTCACTGCAGTGCGAATACCTGGTAAGACGAGTGGAAAAGTATCGGTCCACTGTGAAACGTTTGCAGCTGATAGTGAAGCTTTTAGTTGTTGTTGAAAACGTTCTACCAACCCGTTTGCTTGTGGGTGGTAGGCGGTCGTTCGGAAGCGAGTGATTTCTAAAAGTATGATCAGACAACGGAAAAGTTCACATTCGAACTGATGTTCGCGGTCTGTAGTGATAGTTGGAGGACAGTCGAAGTTTGCTACCCATCGTTCGACGACGAGAGAATGGGATAATGTGCAGCCTCTCTTCGACAAACCAAAACTGGAGTTTCCTAACACCTAGATTCTAATGGCCTGACTTGTAACGACGGTGACGCCGCTGACCTTCCGATTGAACAGTACTCTCGGATATTTCGACCGACTCACATCAACTATACTGATGAGAGCTTCATCTGCAACTACACAGGACTTTCCGAAGTGAACCTAGACGCTGTGCCGGAAACTGCAGCACCTAAGAAAAGACACTTCTTCTTGCCCGGATATGGTTCATTCGCTATACTGAGGGAAACAGCTTCAATCCTGGCAACACCGTTCAGCGGTGTTCTCACACTCGCTAAGCTGAGGCAAACTAGCGGAGATTCGGAAGCTGGTTCACGTCACGCCAATTTTCAAAGGAGGTCGACGCAGCGAACCTTCAAGCTACCGACCGGTGGCCCTTCTCTCAATACCTTACGAAATTATGAAGTCCCTGATGTGACGGCATACACGACCATTTATTATCCTTACACTTCTTTTCACCCCAACAGCATGGTTTCAGGAGAAGTCGTTCTTCTATAACCAACCGGCTGACTGTGGTGGATAGATGGACAAGCATCCTTGATCGCAAGGGGAAGGTTGACATAATTTACCATACATGTCTTATCAATAATCTCAAATGATTGGGTATCAGACCACCTCTCATCGATTGGCTCACTTCATACCTGAAAAATCGACATTTTAAGGTCAGGGTTAATTCCACTTTATCTCAGGCTACGGAATGTCCTAGTGCGGTCCCCCAGGGCTCAGTACTAGGGCCTCTTCTCTTCTTGATCTACATAAATGATCTTCCTCAACAGGTAACTTCGGACTTATTACTTTTTGCCAATGGCGTGAAACTTTGGAGAGAGATACGCAATCAAGAGGATATGCCGCCACTTCAGGAGGGTCTGACTCGACTTCATAGTTGGGTAGGCGACAACACTTCAAAGTGTAACGTAGTCCATCTGCGACATGTTGCAGACTACAGTTACAACTTAAGAAACTCCTATCTAGAAGTATTCCAGGTTGAAAAAGATTGAGGAGTGCTGATACCCCACGATTTGTGGTCTTACTCTAACTGTGACAAAAATGCCTTCCGAGCAAACCTTGCATTGATAACATTGAAGCGCATTTTTGGCCAGTTTGACGGAAGAACTTTCCATATAATCTTCAATAGTTTTATCCGTCCCCATTCAGAGTACGGAAACACAGTATTTCCTCCCTCACTCCAAAAGGATAAGGACACTCTGGAACGTATGCAACGGCGAGCCACGAAATCAATTCGAGGACTCAAATTTAAACCTCATGAAGAGCGCCTCCAACCACTTATCTTTTACCCATTAGAGTATAGGCGTCTTAGAAGTGATCTTCTAATGGATTACAGTATCCTTAACACTTCTGGACACCCTCTTAAACACCTACATAAGCTTAGTTCCAACACTAATCTAAGGGGTAACACCCAGAAACTTGAGACACAACATGGCAGAACGGACTGTAGACACAACTTCTACTCCTTAAGAGTTGCCAAATGCTGGGGTTCGCTGCCGGCTGAGCTAGTCCAAGAGACTTTCCAGGAGTCCTTTAAGAGGCAACATGACATATTCTTAAGGACTAAGGATAATATCTTGCTGTGATTTACCGATTTCATTTTTTTATTATCGTCGATATACCTTGGTTCCTGCCTGGAGGTATTGGTGATCCCCTGCTACTAGACACGGAAGCCCGTTTAGCGGATGCCTGTTAAGCGGAAACTTTTTCTATTCCGTCCTCAAGCATTTGAACCATTTGAACAACACTAGTTTACGACTTAAAATCCTCACTTTTGAGGACTATAATTAGTTTGTTTTATTTTTACTTCTAGAGTTGACGAAAGACCCATCATTTTAAATTTGCTTTAGGCTTGAAGAATAACTGATACATTGTTTCTGCACAGAATGGTTTAATTTTTTAGGTTGTTTAAGTCGCTCAAAAGTCGCTATGACCTAAGTCGGTGGGTTTTTGATTGAACATTTTTTTGATGTCGGGAGGTTGTGTACATGTATCAATCAAGTTAGATATCTTACATCCAGATTATTTGTGTGATCTTGTAAATAAAACACCAGAATCGGAAATTCGTGGATGTAAGAATGTGTTTGGGGAATCTGTTACAAAGGGTTCTATATTCCTTGACGCACTCGATTTCCAGCGCAATAAAATTAAAAATCTTCTAAATGAAGCACTCAAAGAAAAGTTGAGCACATCCAATAAAGGGTTGTTATCTACTGCGCAAAAGGACTTAGACGCAATGGAGAAGAAGAGGAAGATAGCCAGGTCCGTATATGATGAAATGCTTCAATATGGTAAAAGACTTCTAGAATGCATCAGAATTTTAAAGGTTAGCTAAATGTATGATTCATTCATTCGAAAATTACAGGATGTCAATGATGAATTACAAAATGTCTCTTCATTAAGATGTAACAGCGTAATTAATGGAATGTTCAAGGATATACCGTCGTTGTTTAAAGTCCATGAACATTTGACTGAAAGTTTTGATTCCTGTGAAGCTGAAGACATAGAATTGCCCTCAACGTTTACCAGTGACAAGGAGATGCAAATCTTGAATATATACAAGAGCTTCTTATGTCGTTATGCAGTGAATTTCAAGACTTTCTCGGAAATGTATTCCACGAACGAAGAGCTTCAAAATATATGTAAAGGTATCGTTGTAAGTCGAATAAACTAAATCTTTTGGTGTTTAAGATATAAAATTTGCATTTCATTGTCTCACATTGTGGCTTTTAAAATCGTACGGAAAAGTTTTGTTATAAGTACTCAGTCGTGAATATTTTCGAAGCTTGACAATTGAAAGATATGTTGTATTATCACCCAAAACTTATTTGTTATGGTTGCATGATATGCCTTCTGAGCTAAGCTTTCCGCTATCATCAATATTATTATGTTGAACACTTTATCCTCTAGATCAAGAGAAGAAAACGTAATCAGTCTCTTAGTAAACCAGCTTAATCTATGTATTACTAGTGAAATACTTGAGTTTAAAAATCTTTGTATAGACGTCATTTTAGAAATCTAACCGCGAAATTCTGAACTGTAGTCTAGGGATCCTTTCAAATTTCAGCCTATGTGAAGGAGTTAATTTTTTCACTTCAACCTGCAGGTAATTCATAATTGTTTTTGCTACAATATGTAAGTATAGGTTCTTGTGCGCAAATTTGTGCCACACTGTGTGGAACTGGCGGCGGTATTCGATTGTTTAAATCAAAGTAGGTTGTTTGCTGTTTTAGTCATCGACTTCATGATTGAAGTTCAAGTTACTTATTCACTAAGCCACTTGTCAGTGTAATAGGAATCAAGTCAAAAGTGTAAAGCAAACTGTATACCTTGTCGCATGTTGTATTAACTTAACAAAAATGTAATATCATATGGTTTATGTGATTATGCATCGAAGTTCGAACAAATGGCTTGGGAAAGATTGGGCGTCAATTATGTAGAAAACATTAGATGCGAAAAATGTACTTGGATGCTCTCAGCGATTACCGAACGAAACGTTGGGACCATTCAACTTCCAATCGCTCAGGTTATTTAAATACAATTTTCACATCTAACGCCAAGTATTTTACGTTCATAAATGATACTTAACTAGCTTATTCGTTCATTAAGTTTTCATCTTTTATATAACATTCTAGGCAAAATCTCAGTATCAAGAGCAACGTATTCAGAATGTACCTGGGATGTTCTATGGTGTCAGCATAGCGTTACCACGATACAAAGATCTCATTTATAGTAAGCTTCAATTGTTAAAGAACATCTCCGATAATTTGAGTTAGGGCTTAAAGGAACCATGCTTCCGAGCGACCCAGAATATACAAATGTCACAAGTGAGCCCATCAATAATATAAAGCCCGTTCTTACCGTAATTTAGAGGCTTGGAATTTCATCAAGGATTTATTGGATCGTTCGGAACAAGAAATTATTTTGCAGGTTAGTCTACCGTGACAAATGCTTTTGCATATACCATACCAATAATTTTACAAACCTAAAATAATTATTCGTGAATGTAACTTCGGTAGGTAAAAGTCAGAAAAGATTCAAAGTAGACAAAATGGAAGGATATTTGATCATGGCGGAGTACATCCATGTAAATGATCAGTTGCAATTATTTTTAAGCTTCTCTCTTGTCTATTAACCATAGAACTAGTTTTCACAACCTTAAAATAATTATCACAGTTAGCATGCACCAATATGAAGTCATTTCTAAATTTGGTTTAATTTCTCAAAGTATTTAGTGGTGTTGTTTGTCAAATAATTGCACCTATTTAACGTAGTAAATAATTCAGTACATATAGTGGGAATAAAACTTCACACTGCACATTAAGTATTTCAATCTCTAACTGGTTAGCGTTTATTTCTTATCTTAATTTTCTGGTTACTTGTTAAGTTTAGTCCCAATCGATTTTGCTAAAATTACGTTTGTCCTTTTTTCAAGGAGAAAATGTTGAATGCTAGAGAAGCACTTGGTAAACTGGATGGTCTTCGTGTAAAGTATACTCAAATTCCGTTACTACATCTAGAAGGTCCCGCAAAGAAACTACCTAGACGTTCAATACATAGACGGCTTTTGGATAGATATTTATTTCTTGTAAGCTATTCTTTCTGTCACATGGTTAAATCACTAACTTATATATATTGTCTAAGATTGACAAAAATAAGTTTCTAATTCTTTTATTGTTCCTTACTACTTAGTTTGACACATTCATGGTCCACCTGATTGCTCATCAAACCTATGTCAATTAGTTATTTACCGCAACACTATCAGTTATTTGTTCACTGAATGAACCCCTTGGAGTTTAGTAACCGTTGGAATAAAATGAATCTTTGTGTATTCAATACGCCCTGGAACATCGTTCATCAACTTGAACATCTTTGATAGATGAGATTCATATAGGCACTACGTTTTATGAAAGTATTTTCTATTCACCACATTCTCGTTTCGTTTTAGGCAACACATTTGTGTCAAATATTTTCTGTGCCAAATAGGAAACGCCAACATCCGCACTCTAATAGGATATTTATTAGTTCTACTCAACAATTCATTGAGTAAATGGTTACAGCTGCATCAAATTAGTAATGCAGTCCACAAGTATAAAGATAAACAAGGATAATCAGTGATTCAGAAGTGTTACAAACTCTTCATCTTCAGCAATGATTTTATTAGCATATTTACACTACCTTAGCATTTAAAAATATCCCTCAACAGTGTAGAAACCCGACGAAGCCATGTGCTTGTTTTTACACTACTCATGTTCCAGGTTGCAAGTCAAATGGTTCACAATAAATCAAAACTACTTCAGCTAATAAATCTTTTTACAATTAAGTTTATAATTTTCGTACTGAAATGTTCAGCAGGTTGACAATCACTATCAGGTGTTCATGACGAAAACTATTTCCCTCTGAAGTGTGACTCATATCACAGGATATAACGTCATTTAGTTATAATTAGGTGTATTTTTCCAGCATATTGCTTACAGTTCGTCTTTTCGCTTTATTAAAACATGGAGATTTCAAGTTATCTCCTTATTTTCAGTTTTCCGAATATTTGGTCATGACTGAATCCCCTAATGCCGTTGGTCGTTATCAAGTTAAGTCAGAGATAGGTTTGGCTGGAATGACAGTAAGTTTTCTTATACTTTATGTGTACATCTTAATTATTTGATGGGGTTCGTTGCACTCTGATGTTTTTGTGTTGTTGTCGTCCTCTATTTTGAAATTGTGTATATCATTTTGAAAGACATTGTCATTAATTAAATTCATGGTGATCTTGTCTAGTGTTCATAGACTTTCCTAATTAAAGATCTATTGTTTCAGACATGATTCATATACTTAAGTCTACCTAAATTAGTAAAAGTTCTTGCACGAAATTAGTAAACTAACATATAGTTTTCGGTAATATTTAGCTTTAAAGTTGCGTTATAAACTATTCAGAACAAACACCATTCACAAACTCCTTCCTGATAATTAAAATTATTTTTCAGAACAAAAATGGCACCAATTTAATGATGAAATTCGTGTAACCGATTTATCACATCTAGTTTACTGTCAATGTTTCAGTTTCAGGGATACTGATATTACCCGGTATTCCAGATTAAAATAGATCAATGATGATATATTTTATAAAACATAGCAAGATATAATGAACGCAAGGACGTGGTTTTCAAATATATCGTAAACTCGAAGTCTTCGATGCATTTTCTTCAATTACATTAGTTAATTTAATCCGGTCCCTCTTGTTTATGACTTAAAAAAATTGCGACATACAACGTTCATTATCATATCTCCCTATTAGCATTTAAGGTTAACCATTTTACTGAAAGATTTATTATTTCATACCTGTGTTAGAGTTTATTCGTTGACCATAAGCCTGTGATATGAATATTTAATCAAGCTAGATTCATAGCTTGTCAGATCGAATCTACGTTGGGATGATAAACTCTTAACTTGTCAACGTTCATGCTCCATCTAATATGTAACCTTTATTCACGTCTTTTCATTATTTACCGAGTCTTGAGTAAAAACCGTTAAATATTATCAGTATTCAAGAACGAGAAATATTAAATCCGACTTAGCAATAAACTAGGTTTTTAACATTTACTGACGCTTCCATCCAGTGAATGTCAATAATGAGGTGAATGATATAATATATATAATCCCGTAGCTTTTAATAATAATTGGATCTTCGGTTTTTCTTCTTATGGCAAAAATGAGTACTTTATTACTCAATTTTATCATGTGGGGATTGAGAACTTCATAATTAGCACTTCACCTTATATCCGACTTTATGCAAATAGCATATGCTTCAACTTCAAAATTATACTACTTTTCTTTATCAATTAGTTATGTGAAGTCAAAGATGATGAAGAAATCAATGTTGAACACTGTTTTAGAATTAAAGCGAAAGAGCTATGCGTCGAGGTTGCTTTCTCGTAAGTAAGCTTTATTTTTTAAAATTATAAAATCATTCGCTTCAATTTAATCAGTCATAAGAAATATCAGAACTTGATATATATATATATATATATATATATATATATATATATATATATATATATATATATATATATATATATATATACGTTTGTTCAAATTTTCACATCAAATCAAATGTCAGATTAGTAGAAGTAGCAAGAGTATTACTGGTAGTAGGAACGATTAGGCATAGCGAATATCATTCGAAATATTGGATTCAAAGATTAAAAGGTATGAAATAATTTTAAAACTCAAGATCTAAAGAGTGACGAAGAGTAAATGCATCTGTTCCACAGTGACCTATTCTGAGCCATGACTGATAGCGTACCAAACTATTAGCCATGATAATTGCCTGAACCTCAACCGTATAACTGGAAACTACCAACATGACTCAAATCAATAGTTAATAATTTCATAAACTGATCCTATGTCTTCGTTCGGCCTCCTCTAGCTCTCTCACAGCCTAATCCTGCTCTGGGAAACATGGAACATCTTTGTAGGCAGTGTTTACGCAAACGTAATATATATTTCTACCATTTCTTCCGGTGAAGATATTGTTATAACTCGTGACCACCGATTAGAGAGCAGTGACTTATCGATCGGACCAAGGACGCGTAAGACACGTGCGAGCAGCCTAGATTCCTGATTGGTCTTACTCCCTGTCTAGCCCAGCCAGTTAAGTCCAGAACACCAATCTGAGCCTCTGCAATATGAATCATTATATTTAAAACATACTGAGTTTATATAGTAATCAAACAGACCACAACGTACCAATAAAATATGGAACAACATTTGTACAAGAATTAACCAGATGTGGCTGTGAATGAGGGAGGTAGTAATTAATATACTGGGTATAAATCAAGAATGGCAAAACGTATAATAATAGTTTATGGGTCAAAATAAATTTTATAATAAGAGGAATATGAATATGCATAGTTCAGTTACTTAATAATTATACAGTAAAAATATACATTTATTATTGGTTCATAAATGGATCTCAAAAGTTACCATTCAATTTTCTTGTCGGGACATAACACATATGCAATGTGATCAGCCATTTTACCCCTCCACTTAGTACCCTGAAAAAATTAGTTAATTGAAAGTTTAACTAGTTTTAGTATATTTCAGTGTGTAACAGTTTTTAACTCCACTGTTTTAAAACTGATAGTTTAGGTGAATTTTGGAGATTATTGAATGTCATAGTTTACATCGCGGACCAAGTCTAGTTAGACATCCATTAAGAGTTAAGGAACGCTAAAAGAATCGTTTAGTCTTAGAGATCATATCTGAGATATTTTAACCTTCTGAGTAGATTTTCATCTTCAGACCACTGTGTCATTACTTAATCTTTCAGATTTGCAGCTTCAGTCAGCATTGAGTATTACGTGGCTACTATTCATTACTATCGGTGTAATCTTGTTCGCACCTAACATGATTGTATCATGATAGATTTTCCAGTTATTATTATTTGCTAAGTAAGAACTGTCGTCTAAATTTGATCGATTAGTTTCACAGTATTTGGTCATCGAGTTAATGTGAGACATTAAAGAGGAAAAATGTATTTGTAAAATTTCAGCGAATGAATTTTGAAGTAAATCCAATGTTTTACCTGCCAATCTGGTTCAAGCTTTTTCAAGAAAATATAATCAAACATCATAATTATCGAATATAAATAGGTACATGGTTCTCCGGTTTACTGTATACTGAATAAGTCATCCAATCAACGTTAACAATGTTTAAAGTAGGTATTTACATTAGTGTGTAAGAGGCATGTGGTGTGAAAAACGAAGTGTTAAGATAACAGATTGTATGTATATGGAAGTGAGAAGAAATTTCATTCACCATATGTTGTCTTCGGTCTTCGGAGAACCATGTCCCTATTTATATTCGATAATTTTGATGTTTGATTATATTTCCTTGAAAAAGCTTGAACTAGATTGGCAGGCGAAACGGATTTTCTTCAAAATTCATTCGCTGAAATTTTACAAATACATTTTTCCTCTTTAATATTCTTATTTGCATCTTCTTAGATAACTATTCAAAATATTGTCTGCACCATATGTCTAAAGTAAGACTTATTGTGATTGTTGAAGGTAACATTTAAAACGCTCACTGTCACTGTGCACTATACATTCAACAGTAAATTGTATTAGCTCCATAGTTCACTATTGACTGACTTGATGGAATAGATAATAAAAAAGGTTATTTTCTAGTTCGCAGAAATCTTCCAGTTTCCATCAATAAGTATCTTGCAGTGTCATTTGGGTTAATGAATACGTCGTTAAGATTTTTTGGTAAAATTTAACCAGTTTACAGCAACTACTAACCAAAAAAATAAGACGCTAAACCTTTATTGCTTAGTTCTCTAAAACTGTTTAGTTATCGTGTATATTCTAAAAGAGCTGAATTGAAATTCCCTCATCTGAATGTAATTTATTTACTATCAAGCACATTATTTACTTATTCGGGTTCGACCCAGATTGTTTGTGTAAGGACTAGTTAGAAATGGCCAAACTAAAACTGAGCATCAATCCATGAACGAATTGTCTGTGATTCTTAGCCATGTTGACAGATGTCAACTACTTGATTAGGTTCTATGTGTTAGAAGCAATCAGTAGGTAGAGACCGACGTTAAGTAACATGATCTAAAATCGTCCACAATTGCTCAGATATATTTATTCTTTATCTTTTTTTAGATCTTGCGTTCTAGTATTCCTCCTTATAAATCTTCCAATTTGAATAAAATCAATAACCTTTAAAGAAAAATATTAGTAAAATTATGACTGCACTTTCATTTCATTATTACATACATATATACATCTCCACAAAGTATAATAATCTAAACATTAAAAAAATCAATAAACGATAAATAATTGATGTATGCTGATATTTTGTTCTACTTAATTGTGCCATAGTCTGAAGTTGGTCAATCGTTTGATTGTGTAACTATGTTTAGTAATTCTCAATATGATATAGAACCCATGAAGAAAACAACAACTTTTCTATCATTATGGAAATTTTCCCTAACAAGTGATATCTAACATCGTTTGCCTTAGACTGGTAAAAAATCAGTGATATTTTTATTTGTCCAGTTCACTATCTCTTACCCTTAGTTCTACTGCAGTCAACTGATCACGCTGGCATTAGGAATTCGATAAGCGATCAAATGTGAATAGTCACATTGCAGTAAATGAAGCGTATCATAAATACCTTTATTTGCTTGTCAGGTTCCTTTTGAACAACATTTGATCATATATAAGACTATATCCATTGTTTATTGGTAACTAAATGGTAAATACATTGCATAAAATCTCTCTCTTCCCTTAAAACTGCTTTATATCTTTCTTTCTACCAACTAATTCTTTCTTCTTGTATTATATCCTTATATTCAATCTTTATTTTATATATTACAACCACTGAATTAACTGCTTCTATGAATTCGGTGTTCATCTTGTTGTGCTAATGCGGTCAGTCAGTCAGTCAGCTGCAACGTAGGACCAGGCACATATATGCATCGGTCCAAGTTGCCATACCTCATTAACAACTTGGACCGATGCATATATGTGCCTGGTTCTACATTGTAGCTGACTGGCTGAAATACATTGTTATATTATGAAGTTTCACTTGAGAATCAAGTATTGAAAAGTTTCCACTCATTAAACAGGACTAACCAAAGTAAAAGGGCATGTCTGTTTATGGTACGGTTCTGCAGTCATCTAATCGTTTATGTAAAACACAGAGTTTGATACAACTGGTCGTCGAAGGTATGAGCCACAAAAAATAGAATAACAGTATTTTGAAATGAAAGTGGGAAATAAAGAATAGATGGACTATGGCTATCAGTCGAATCTAGGAGGCCCGTTTCTTCATATTTTGGGGTTTGTCAGATGATATACCTCCATCCCCAGAGTTGGTGTCCATTACGAGATTTGAACCCAGTACCTTTCACTTCAAACTAAGACTGATCAACTTCCAGTCAAAATACCAACAATGGGATAATTCAAATCACTTTAAATTGAATTAAAACTCGTACCCATCATAAAAGTAAGTGGCTATCTGAACGTAGTAGCTAAATAGATAACACGATGACATTTGAAGTGAAAGGTGCTGTGTTTGAATACTGAGACGAACATAAGCTCGGATGCAGGTATGTTGAGCTATCGAGTCCCAAAATAGCACAAAATACTTTTCGTTGATTTAACTGTTGTCCACAGTTCATTTATTGTAAATAAGCTTGTGAAATGATTGTTATATCGAGCCAATTCATACAGGATGCACATGTGCCAACTAATACTGATCGAATTTCAGGCAATGTAAACAACTGGACAATCTAAATCGTTTCAAGTCGAATTTAAAGTCGAAAACCTTATTGTTGGGAAGATCCAAAAAATTCATCGAAAAAAGGCTCCGAAAACTCTGAGAAGAATCTTATCCAATCAGCATTCAGTAGAAGTTTTGCCAGAAACATCTAGATAGTGAGAAGTCACGTGTTGAGTTTCTGATTGGATGATTACCTATACTGCTTTTATGTTTAGTAGCGTTCCAAAATTTTCCAGAAACCTAACGCCATCTAAAATACTATAAAAAACATAGATTTTCTGTACATAAACGAACCTTTGGAGTAAAGCGTTTCTTCTATATTTCTCACCTTTTCTCTCGTGTTGAAGTAGCTGTGTATATCTAGCCTGAGGGTTACTAGAAGACCTTAGGAACCGAACCTAGCGTTCAATTAGAAGACTTATCATTCATGAAATCAAGGAATAAACGAACAAGATTAGTATCTGATAAGAAAAATGCAGTCCAATAAAACTACAACTTGAATAAATTCCTCTCAATTAGGAAAATCCATCTCACATTTATGAAAACTGCAATAGAATGCTACATAAATATAACTACTGGCTTCTATTCTAAATCATGTTTGATAACGTCTCAAGCCACTAAGTCACATGGTCTCTAAGACCCTAACCAAAACATTGTGGCAAAGCAATAGCCTTTAGTTTTATACAACTGAGTTTCATACTTAAAAAATCGCACCTTATACTGACTGTCTCGTTGCTTTCTCCACTCAGTCCCAGCTTCGATAAAATGGTGAACAGTATGGGATCTGCTGGGATGATATTTTTCAAGTGATCGTTTTATTAGTTAAATATCTGCTGTCTTATTTTCTGAGAGATACTACGATTCAGTTGGTGAAAAATCCGCCTTTTATGGCTAGTTTTCATTTGAGGTGGTAGTATTATTAACTTTTATACAACAGATATAATTGATGATATAAAATGAATAAAACTACCTTAGATTACTGGATTGTATTCATCAGTCATACTTTACACTACTATTTCAAACATTATTAGGTCAAAATATTGGTCTGGTATTTTCTGTTAAAAATAGTAGAGTAAACGTGCCATAATTAAACATTTTTATACGTGTTCAGCTACTTAAATGTGACCTACGAAAAGTAAATACATAAATAAGGCTTACTGTGATTGATTCATGAAACTTTGGCAGTTGGAATAAGGTTTTAATCTCTCGAGGCGAGATCGTAGGTGCTCACTACTGAGGAGTATCACAATAGGACGAAGCGACTGTTCAGTGCTTCCAGGTTTCCCATCACAACTATTTAAATTACTATAATATCCACTGACTGCCTCGATGTGCGATGTTTTGTTGTATAGGAGTAGATTGGAAGAAAGCTAGGGGAGGCCAGACCAAAACATGGCACAAGTCCATGAAGTCACTGGCAAGTAGACTGAGTCATATTCGTAGGTGTAGACTACCTGGTTGGGGATCGCGAGATGATAGCAACCAATGGTTAGAGACCCTGAATCACATGGCTCAAAATCGTTTGCAATGGCCCAGGTGCATTCACTCTTTGTGTTCACCCAAATTCTAATCTTCTGAATTCTTCATGTTCCTTTCTTTTTTCTCTTTCCAAATTTATTTCACTGGATTATACTCCTTGAATAACATCTTCAAACCCTAATTTTTCTGATTACAGCTTATAATTTTACTACGTCTAGCACTACGGGATTTGAATCGACAACTGCATCTCTGTGCTAATGTGGTGTGGCAACTCGAACTGATGTACGTACGTACGAAGTTCTGCGTTGTTACTGACTGGCTGACTGACCACAAAAACCCCTTCTGATACTAATCAACGTATGCTCACTAGTGACTGGCTTCAAGGGGTATTTCCTGGAGTTCTAGTGAGAAGCAGTAACCAGTGGAGTTCAACTGGGTCTGTTGTGAGATAGTAACTCGCTGAAGACAGTAGTGGATATTGTTGTGACTTTATGTCCGGCTTTTTATCACGTTATTTATCCACTAATCAAAATACTACTTATAAAATCTTAGCACTGTGCCAAACCAATGACGTTCGATCGGTATGAGCAGCCTAGCGTCCTTATTGGTCCTATGTTCGCGTAGCCCGTCCACTTGAGTCCGGAACACCAATACGAGCTTCCACTATGCGAATTGAATAATTTATTTCAGATATACTGGGTTTATATATCAACCAAACAGACCGCAACGCACCATAAAATAGGAAATAACATTCATACACAATAAAACCAAAAAGTGGCTGTGAACGTGGGAGGCAGTAGTCAATAAACTGAACATAGCATAAGAACAGCAAATCGTACAATAATAAATTATAGATCAAAATAAAGCTTATAACAAGGGGAATATAGATATACATATTCTAGTTACTGAATATTTATACCATGAGAATATATAAATAATATTAGTGCATTAATAGGTCTCAGACGTTACTTGTAATGTAATCTTCACTAGGATATAACAGATGTGTCGCTCAATTTCGTGGGTTAGTTGAAGTTAGACATTAACACCTTTGGATGCCGCTCTGTGGTCTATAGGTTAAGCGCTCGCGCGCGAGACCGATAGGTCCTGGGTTCGAGTCTCGCAAGTCGTGATCGCGGGTGCGGGCTTCTGAGGAGTCCCATGTTGGGACGAAACGAACTTCGAATGTTTCCGGGTTTTCCATGATGGTCTAGCTTCAATTGACTCATCACAACTATTGAAATTATTATAATATCCACAAAAACCCTTCTGATAACTTGATTTGTCAAACGTTCATATGTGTGGTAAACACCTAATAGCTGCATCCATAAAAACGTCTAATCCCTTGTCTTTTGGTTTTTTTCTATTTAATTACCGTTTATTTCAAGAAATGATGACGAAAAACAACTTTGGTGGCGTGAACTTCAACAGGCTATTGATTGTGAATGTAATAAACCGAATAGTAATTGTTTCAATGAAAAAGTAAATTGGTTATTATTTGTATGATATTAATGTTAGTTACTTTTAAGTAATGACAACTACTCTTCTTTCAATACTCTGATATCTATCTTCCTACAATGAGTGTGATATAATTACAATATTTATAGTCATTTACACGTTTATCTATATATATCTACTTCATTTTAATTGTGGATTTCAGATCAGATGGTGGCAATATATAAGACGAATTTGTTAAGTTATTGTGGTGGTTACGAACTTATTAAAACATTTTGAGTGTTATAGCAGACTTTGAAGCCTATTAGAACATATTAGCGTTAGCGTATGCCAATACATAATAAGTCCCTTGAATCAACTTTGACAAGCTATATATTAGATTTGAAACTTCTTGGTACTATGTAGTCATGATTCCTTCCTTACCGGTAGTAGTTGAGCCTAGGGTCTTCATATATCGTTAAAAGCACGACGCTTTTGGATTATTCAATTGGAATCTAATAGTAGTCGGCTTTTCCAGTTTTAGTAGATTCCCGCCATTATACGCGATTACCATCAATTCAGCATTTATTTTATTCTTGAAGACCAACTTAATAATAATGAGCTGAAGACCGACCCTTTGATAGACTTGGAGTTAGCTAGGTTACATATAACATAATCGGAGAAAGAAGTCGAGCTAGAGAACTTACGTCACTGAATCATTGTGTTGTGTCCCTGTTACTGTTTGGCATATGTGTGTTTATTGTTCTTTTAGTAATTAACTTTACTATTTTGAGTTTTGTACTATTTGTATTAAGTTAAATTTTAGAAACACATGATAATTGTTGGCTACATGCATAGTTACCTGTTTTGACCATAGCACTGCTATAACTCTATGTGCAACAGTATAAGGACTTATTCAAAAAATTAATCTGTAGGCAAATTAAATCCTACAGCGTATATCTGTTTATTAGCATTAAAAACATGTTTATGCATATTGATGAGGAAGAATCTCACTTACTACTTTCTGTTTAATCTTTTAAAATTTCTTTTTAAACATTAGAAGTCAATAATGAGTGCAAATAATTTAGGTGAAGTTGCAGCTCAATGGGTCAAAGATGAATCATCCACTATGTGTACAAATTGTTGTACAGAATTTACTACACTTAATCGACGACATCATTGTCGTGCATGTGGCAAGGTATGTATCATTTTATTTTGACTGTGTGTTTTCAATTTTCGCTTTAGTTTACAACGTTATTATGTATTCATTAATAATTTAACGTGAACAACATTTAGTCCCATTAGGACCTTAATTGGGCAATAGTTTTGTTATATATTTGTAAAGTCCAACATTTCCTATCTCATAATTGCTAGCAACTGTTTGAATTCAGCCATTACTGTCTCAGCAGTATCGTCGGAATCCTTTGACCACACTGTGCAAGTAGGTGTTGAAGTTTAGCAACTTTCAATTGTGCACAATGGAAATTATTAGCAGATCGATGTCACTTCTGTGGTTTAAATATAAATTCTATGCTCGTTATCTCAGAGACCACTTATTATTAACTTTTCAGGTGAGTAAAAACAAGAACATCGAAAGCATCTATCTGGACTACAATTCTTATTCATTATTTTACAACCAATTATTCTAAGCAATATTCCTGTTTTATCGAGGCAAAATAAGTTTCACAGTTTTCAAACATTTTCACTTGAGATTTTTTAACAATACAGTGAAATTTCAGAAAAATCTTTAAACTAATTTCAGCGAGACTATAATTTATGGACGAAGCAATCAGGTATAAGATAACAGGTCTTGGATTTTGGTGCGAAATTCACTCATTCATTTGGATAAATAGAGCTTTAGCATTATAGCTGATGTCAGTTCGTAATGAAAACCCTAGATGTAGTTCCTCACCTTAACGATCAACTGTAACTCATGATTCTAATTCCTTACACTGGTTTATAATCCTCATTTAGTTCTAGTTGTTAGGTGAACACTCTCAAGGTCATCCTAGTGGCGCTCAAATGTCATCCATAAATTATAGTCTTATCCTAACTTCTTAATAATTTAAAACATAGACCTTCAACCATTAGATTGTAAAGACAAATTAACAAAAAAAAATTTTCTTGTTAATGATTCCTTCTATTGTAACTGTACAAACTTATTTATTTGCTTAAAATAGTTGCCTATCCTAAAATTGAATGTTGTTGAAAAACGTATGATCTTAACCATTGAAATTACTATGATATCCGCAAAACCCAACTGATATTAATCAACATATGCTCACTAGTGACTGGCTGCACGAGGTATATCCTGGAGTTCTAGTGAGAAGTAGTGACCAGTGGAGTTCAACCAGGTCTGTTGTGAGATAGTAACTCACTGAAGACAATGGTGGATGTGTCGCTCAATTCCGTGGATTAGTTGGAGTTAGACATTAACACCGTTGGATGCCGGCTAAAGGGTCTAGTGGTTAAGTGCCCGCGCGCAAAACCAGTAGGTCCTGGGTTCTGATCTCGCAGGGGGCGAGGTCGTGGATGCGCACTGCTGAGGAGTCCCACAATAAAACAGAACGATCGTCCAGTAATTCTACGTTTTCCATGGTGGTCTTGTTTCAACTGGCTCGTGATCTTAACCATTAAAAAAAATAATTGTTTACAAAAAATCAGATATTAAAAAGAAAGTTATATTATAATAATAATAATTTCAATGAAAAATGTTAAGGTGAAGGTAACTGTTCACTTGTTAAATACTAAGAACAGAATAATTAACTAAAGGTAATAATGTAGGTATCCATACCAAAGTTGGACCTCATAGTTTTAAATAAATTGAGCATTAGATTAGAAAGTTTATGATAAAAGTATATTTGGGGGGGTGTAAGATTTAAACTTGTGTTAATCTAATGTTCGGTTATTTATTTACTCAAAGAAGTGACTTACATAAAGTCACAAAACGTCGTCAGAAATACGATTTTTCTACTCATTGCAATATAACAAAAAAATATATTGCTTATTAAGGTAATGTTATAACTTGTGGCCTGTGTGCCCTAATAATGTAGAATGTAGCTATACCGCCAGCTAGAGAACAGTGAATTATCTACCGGACCAATGATGCATAAAACAAGTACGAGCAGTCTAGACTCCTTATCGGTCTTACTTTCTGCCTAGTCCGGTCTGTTAAATCCGGAACATCAATCTCAGCCTCTGCAATATGAATCATTTCTTTCAAGCATACTGGGTTTATATACCAACTAAACAGACATCGTACCGTAAAATAGAAAATAACATTTGTACACGATCTAGCCAAAGTGGCTGTGAATGTGGAAGACTGTAATTAATTGACTGGACATAACTCAAGAATGGTAAATCGTATAATAATAGTTTATAGGTTGAGATAAAGCTCATAATAAGAGGAACACGAATATGAATAATTTAGTTACTTATCAATTATACGATAAAAAAATGTATATTATTAGTCCATAAATAGACCTCAACAGTTAACATTCATTATTCTCATCGGGATAGGTAATAATGGTTAATTAATAGTTGTAAAAAATAATTTGGTAGGAATAGATTATGGAAGATAGAAAGGAATCTTAAGACTGTATATAAAATGAGGGATTGAATATACTGTTTTTGTACTTAACTGTTTGGATTGGATAAGTGGATAGTTATGGCTTTTCATTTTAATTCCTCTTCAGTCGACTCTTTTGACAGTATTTATGATTTGTAGAAAAAGGATCTTGTCGAAGCAAAGTGATTGAAATTAACTAGATGTTGCATGATTGAACTTTTGGCTGACTTCCGCAGTCCTTTTAGATAATCAGGGGATATTTAATTTTTGTAGAAAGCTAATAACACAATACTATCCCAATCATTTTGAAATTATTCAACACTATTTTATTTTCAGTATAGGGCTATGGAAATAGCTCAATTTCATTGACTTCGCGCACTCATTTATGTTGAACAACCATGCACTTGAATACCGTCTCGTCCTAGTATAGGACTCTTGCGAATGTTGATGTCTACGTTGGGACTCGAACCCAGTACCTCTCTCTTCAAACGTCCAACACACTATCCACTGATCTACTGAATCTGAATAGCCATTGGCTTGTGCAATAAAGTGAATCCTAATTCATTTGTTTTGGTTGTCTAAATCTTTCCGTTGATCTTATATACTGCAATTGATCAGCCTCTTTTGATATACGTGTATTCTGTGCTAAAAGGATAGTACGTTGAACATTTGAAACGTAAAGTACCTCATTTGATTCCCAGTTTCGACGTCGACTTTCGGATACAGGTATATTCAGACGACCAGTCCTAATTAGAATGCAACATGCACCCGAGATTCCATTGCTAGCTATTATTAAAATTTACTTAAATTATTAGTTTGTAGATTCGAATCCTACTAAACTTATTTCTATTTATGTAGATGTTATGATGAGACTATAATTTATGGACGACCTTAAGGTGACACTAAAAAGACCTTGAGAATGTCTGCCTACATACTACGGTTAAATTAGGGTTATAAACCAGTGTGAGGAATTGGGATTAATATTTACAGTTGATAGTTAGGGTTAGGAATTGGATATAAGGTTTTCATCACAAACTGAAATCAGCTGTTATTTAGCCAAATGGATGTGAATGGATTTTGCGCCAAAATTCAAGACCTGTTATCTCATACCTGATTGGTTCGTCTATACATTATAGTCTCACCTTCACGTAAAAAAAAGTTTTTTTGTTGAAAAGCAAGTACATAAGTTCGCACATAATAAATAATTGACATTATTATTACTATTATTATTATATTTATTATTATTATTTAGGGTGTTATTAGCAGAATAAACTATTGATCATGTTACATGTTGCCACCTGACAACTTATTCTATTCAACACTTTAGTGTTTTATGCTAATAAAAATAAAAAGTTTTATACATAAAAAACGTTTGTGAATCAAATGCACGAATAGTGAACGTTCAGTCATAAAAAACAGACTAGTTTGTTTATGTGATATAGTTGGAAAAACAAACATGATAAACATTTAAAAAATGAAAGAATTTATTGAATATAATAGACGAAATTAAAATGTAATAATGGTAATAATGGTTGGATTTTTGAAAGTTCCTTCAATAATAAGTGACCCAAATACCCTGGTACGACTGAGAGTGGAGAGAGTCCGCTTTCCCCCAAGAAATGCTCTCACATGGCCACGCGTATATAGCCTATGCCAGGGAAGTCCTACTCACTGCCTTCTCGTGGCTGGGATGTTGTTTACGAAGTCGAGAGGACGAAAAGCGAACGTCCAGTGCTTTAACCAGGTTGGTGGACATGGAGAGCCCACCTAGGGGAGTTGGAAAACCTTGATTACAAACGATTGGTGCACATGAACTCCATGATCCTTAAAGAACAAATGGCGTATGAACTAATCGTTGGTCACCGGCTACCATGGGACTGTATCTCCTGACGTTGCTTCACTGCCTTGTGGATTAGACCTTTAGGTCAAAGGCTTCAGGTATGCCCCCCTAAGAAAAGCACCTGCTTCGGTTTGGGCACTCGGGCAGTATCCCAGCCCTCACACATATCAAATGAGGTCCGTGTGCCGCATATGTATTTGATGCCTCCTTGTACTAATATCTATGTGTTAAAATAAATAAATAAAAAATCTTGAATTGAGGTACATATTTTTATCATGTATTGTTTACGAATAAATGGTAAACTCATTTAATATAGTTAGACATTAACACCGTTGGGAACTGGCTCAGTGGTTTATAGGTTAAGTGTTCGCGCGCGAGACAGATAGGTCCTGCGATCGAATCTCGCAAGGCGGGATCGTGAATGCACATTGCTGAGTTGTCCCACAATAAGAAGGAACAAACGTCCATTGCTTCCAGGTTTTCCATGGTGGTCTCACTTCAATCAACTTATGATCTCAACTATTAAAAATTAATATACATTTGTTATTTAACTTAATTAATCGGACATCCAAATCAAATAATAATCATTTCGTGTACATTTTACATGTTTCCATGTAAAGCAAAAATACAAAACAAAACTTAAAGATTCACTTCCAACATGTGATCTACTTTGAGATACATTAGTGTTATAAGATTTCTCATTTAACAAGTTTATTAGACTTCATATTGAAAAGTAAATCATGCCTGAGAAAAGAACTATAAACTAATTCAGTCTAACCAGTATTTATAAATTTGTCAACATTATCGATAAAATCATTTTTAAAATGACAGTGAAATAAGATTAATTATGATATAATTGTGATAAATTTTGGAACTTAAACGGAATGAGTAAACCATTTACGGTTTGTGGAGGTTGTTAAATTTCATAGTTTACATCTCGAACTGGTTTCATTTAAATAATCATGAAAGGCTAGGAGACACTGAACAACTGTCTTTATCCTAGTATGGGACTCCTCAACAGAACTTCCGCACAACTTCACGGAGCTTCAGATCTGGGACAATCATTTCTCTAGACGAGCACATCTCTTCAGTTGAGAGGCAGTGACCCAATATTGACACTGAAAGATGGTTACGTACTGATTGAATTTAGACATATAAACCACTAAATGGACCATTCAGTAGTTTAAATCTTAAGTGCTCATTGTGAGCCATTGATGTCCTGGTTTTGATTCACGTGGGGTCCTTGATGTACATTTTTGAAGAGTCTCATATTATGACGAAAATGTTGTCAAGTATTTCACGCTTTTTAGCAATCGCCTAGCTAAGTTTAGTTCGTGATCAAAACTATAAAACGGGTAGCGCTATCTTAATGATTAGCACTGAAATTTCAACTACTTAATAAGTTGGAACGTTGCTTGGTCCATTTCTTTGTGAGTATCTGTATTGTATCCTCCACTCATTAAATTAAACGTATATGCCTTATAGTCGAGGCACTGAATTGTGTATGAGATAACTGAGTTTTAGTATAAAATTACAAGACTGCTATAAAATAGAATATTTCTTTACCTTGGTTTCAGATAGATTTATCTGCCAATAAAAGCATTTTGTCACTTGGAAAATACTTGTTAACGTATTCTTCAAAGAACTAATCCAACCTCTCATAACATATCTCGATGTCATAACTATCTAATTCTTGACTGGTGCATTGTTTATTGACGGATTTATAGATCCATCTCTAAAATTCCATAATACAGTCGCTAGATTTTTATTTATTTATTTGAAACAAATATTGGTACAAAGAGGAGCCGAATAAATATGCGCCACACAAGTCATTTGATTTGTGTGAGAGCTGGGATACTGCCCGGGTGCCCAAACCGAAACAGATAGTTTTCTAACGGAGCCATATCCGAAGCCTTCTACCAAAAGGTCTGATCCACAAGACAGGAGATGCAGTCCCATGGTAACCGGTGACCAACGATTAGTTCATACGCCATTTTTTCCTTCAGGATCCTGGAGTTCATGTGCACCAACGGTCTGGAATCAAGGTTTTCCAACTCCTCTAGGTGGGCTCTCCATGTCCACCAACCTGGTTAAAGCACTGGACATTCACTTTTCGTCCTCTAAATTTCGTAAGCAACACTCCCTGGTGCGAGAAGGCAGTGAGTAAGACTTCCCTGGCAGTGGTTGTATGCACCTGGCCATGTAAGAGCATTTCGAGAGGGAGAGCTGATTCTCAAGACCGGGTAAAGGAGAAGAGTTGGGTGTGGGGTCGTTAACTCCATCCCATAGAAGACGCCCCTGTTTTCAGCTCATGAACTAACCTTGAAAACAAAGCTTTTTCTGTACTTTCCTCCGTTCTTTCTGTTTAGGAGTTTGAGAATAAGAGATTTCTGAAAACTAGAAAGTTTTCGATTTGCAAATTTGTGATTAATCAACTAACAAGAAAATAATTTTATAAACTATTCCCATAAACTGTTTCATCCATACTAGGCTATTTTCAATGATCTTTTATCTTTTACCTCAGTTACTACTTTCATTCGGCGATATTATAAAGATGTAATATTGTACAGTGTTTTTACTATATACATCATAACTTTTTTGTCAATTGTAAGGCACTGAATAGAATCTTTGAAATAACTAAGTCCATATTGTTGTGGTACAATAATGCTAGTTGTTTTAAGAAATTTTATTAAGATATTGAGTTGAATAAGATAAATTAGAAATGTCCAAAAGTCACAGTATTTTCAATGTTTAAGCATAAAACATGGCGTTTAACGTAACTCTTTCGATATATGTTTCTGTACGTACACCAACGCGCATATATAAGCATCTATCTGATGAGTCCTGAATATGACGAAAATTTTATCCTGAATTCTACTCCTAGATCACAATTCATAGATTCCATGATGACTCTTAAAGGTTGAAGAAATTTGTTGGTTATTGACATTCGATCGTAGATATATTATCAGAGCATTACTTGTGTATGATAAGATTATCAAGTGAATAATTCCAAAGTTAGACATAGGGTACCAAGTAGATAGTATTATGTTTTGCTTTAATTAATGGCAAGATCTTCGGGAACGTAACTTAATACACATTTGTCTACCATGATTTTCGCTGCTATTTACAACTAATTAACTTTTAAAGTTCTCTGTGCAAATCAAACCATAATTTCTGAAAATATTTTCTTTTTCTCTAATTGTTAATAGTTATTTTGTGGTTCCTGTTCAGCATATAAAGCTCCATTGGAATCTTGTGGTGGTAAATATGAACGAGTATGTGTTGTAGACTATTATTTACTTAATAAGAATTTCAAACCTCCAAAACCTAAAATTATGGAGGCGATATTGCGTCGAGTAGACAAAGTAAGTTTCTTTTGTTTAAAAATAATCACTGAGTAGTTTGATTGATGGTTTTACATATCACAGTATTAATAAGTATAATTTATCATCGTCTCATTCACACAGTTCCTTTTTATTCTCTATAGAACTATTCCTATTCAAGTACACAATTGTTTGAGTAGCTTAAACCGTGCCCAACCAATCTTGTCATCCTTTATTATCTAGCCCATTCTTGAATGTAACATTAACATTGTTTCCAACTCTGATTAAATTAGGGAAACTCAAACTATATGGTAGACATCAGTTGAATGTATAATTCCCTTACAAATTTTCGCAATGCATTACATTTTAAGTAATTATTATAACTTATTGGTCAAGTATTGATTTATGTTGTGTTATTCGGTTTTTGAGCGCCAAATTTTTTATATATGACCTATTGATACTCTATCCACTTATTCAAATGATCGAATTTGTTAAACGGAGGTTCATTTTTGCTTACTCACGCCTGTTACTCCTCGTGGAGGTACATAGGCCACCCACCAGCACTCTCCATCCAAACCTGTCCTGGGCAATCTTTTCCAGCTCTTTCTATCTGTTACTCATCCTTTTCTTATCTGCTTCTATTTGCTGACGTGATGTGTTCTTTGACCTTCCTCTTTTCCGCTACCCTTCAGGATTCCAAGTTAGCGCTTGTCTCGTGATTCAGTTCGGTGATTTCCGTAATGTATTTCCTATTTATTTCCATCGTCTTTTCCTAATTTCCTCTTCAGATGGAAGATGGTATTTTCACTCCCACAGTAGGCTGTTACTGATGGTATCCAGCCAATCAATGGATGTTGAGTATCTTGCGTGGACAACTATTTATAAATACTTGCACCTTCTTGATGATGGTTGTAGTGGTTCTCCAAGTTTCAGCTTCATAGAGTAGAAATGTCTTGACGTTCGTATTGAAGATTCTCACTTTGATGTTGGCTTGCAGACAGTTGTTTCGAGTTCCATATGTTCATCGATTGTAGGAATGCTATCCTTGTTTTGCCAATCCTCGCCTTTACGTCTGCATCAGATCCTCTATGTTCATCGATGATGCTCCCCAGGTACATAAAAGATTCCACATCTTCCAGAGTTTCCCCATTAAGTGTGATTGCTTTAGTGTTCTCCGTGTTATATTTGATGATCTTGGTTTTTCCTTTGTGTATGTTGAAGCGCAAACTGAGGTTCATGCAAGTGTTTTAATCAATAATTCTCCCTCGTTATTACATAAGTTGTTAATTACAGTTTATATTTGAATAGTCATAATCTTTGTAGAATATTACTATTTTTTGAATATCATCTTAGATGTGACTCATATATATGATCATGAGTCTTTTCACAGTTTAAATCACGAACTGTTCTCCATTATAAATATATTTATCATAGAACTTGGTAACTAATATATATACATATGTTTATGTTTACCATTTAATTTACTGTAAAAGTTCATTTTATCACTTAGTCATTTCAACCAATTTAATGTGAATGATTAGTTAATTCAAAGTCACGTTTAATTTATTTCGACCATAGATTTCACTGTATTGAACACACACAAAAAAAAACCGTTACACAACAGTGTAGATAACATACTATTTCATGAAATGTTTATTACACCATACAATAATGGATTCATTTAACATGTATGTATATATACAATATGTGAAAATATGAATATGAATATTTTCATGTAAACAATATGATGATATACAAATTGATTAAACTGTTTATAAATGATCAAATATTTCCATCAAATTCATCTTTGATAACTTCATAACTTCATAGTCTATCTGTGAAAAGTTAGATATACAGTGAGTTGGTAGAGTTTTGTTTTCTGAGCTGAATAGTTTGGTCTTAGGGTTTTCATCTTTATTCTGACTGACATCATCAGAATAAACGTCTATCTGAAGTTTGTGATGACGAAGATGTCGTTCAAAATAATGATGGAAGCTCCACAACCAAACCATCCAGCTCAGAGCATAAAACTCCACCAAAATATGCAGTGAGTCTGACAGTAATTCCGCTTTGTATATATATAACTTAGTTCTTTCGTAATGATGTTCAAAGAATTTCTACTTTCGGTTATCGTTATCCTTGAAGGACTATTGATAACCTGTGATAATACTGCGTAAACAAGACGAATATCCGACAATATCTGTTCAAGTGGTTCAATCGATCTTATCATCTTAAAACACCAGTTTCCGTCACTGTAACATTTTTCTTGAATATCATCCTTGCTGAATTTAGCTTATTATTTATAATCGTTAGGACTGGGTAAAGAACACAGAGGTGATCAGTTTATAAGATGGTCCAGTGGTATGAACGATAGCTATATAGTGTTGATAGCGAAGAAAATTTTCTTCTCATAGTTGTATGGTAATGTGATGTGTTACTCGTGTCGACAGATATAAGTAATATGTAACATTAATCGAAAGTGGAATGCCTGACAACATAAGGTTAAGAGGATTTAATAGAAGGGAATGGGAACAGAGAGTGATTGGTATCAAAATGAAGGAACAACAAATTCTGAAACAGTTGATTGACATTTTGCAAATGAAGTATCACTCTGTAATTCTGTGTTCAATTACATTTGGATGTCCCCAATTGTGTTCTCGTTCATTACAGTAAATATATGTCTGTAGAAGGATAGGAAAGATTTCACCATAAAGTGATTCAAGACACCAAATATCAGATGAGATTGCGCAATCATCATGGTGTTAGAGAACAATAAGAGAATGAAATTAATTTAAGAGTTAAAATTACAAAAGATAATTTTCCGCTTGACAGATATGAAGAAAAACGAAAAACATAAAGATCCTAATCATAAAAACCGAATAAGGATCATGAAAAATTATGAAAGGTTATTATTAATATTAACTAATTATGGTTTATAATTGCAAAACAGAACCAAAACATACTACAGAAGGGAATTAGGGCCAATGAAGGATAAGAGTTTGGATCGATCGTTTATGAACTCAGAGTTCGGGCTTGAATTGGTGAATTCCCAACGCCTCAGCAGTACATTGTATCTTTGATCAACTATCATTCTTACTTTTCTATAGTAATTTGATAATCTTTTCCCTCCTTCCATCTTTCTTTTTTTTCACAAATATAATATTCCAATTTATCATGATACATTTTCATTTAATCTCCTGTTGCACCAAAACGTTTTATGTATTGTTGTATTCAAATAAATGTTTACATTACTATTTAATAAACAATCATCCTCATTGATAAACTGTCTAAATCAAAGAAATAAAGCCTTTCAACTTCCATTAAAAATGATTATCATTTTAAAGGATTTGAATACATTCTGGTGTCAATAATACCGATTAGAATTAACACGTTTCTATTGAAAATATATACTATCAGAATGGGTTTTGTGGAGATTTTTATAAATTTTACAGGTTAAAATCATGAATCAATTGAAGCTAGACCACCATGGAAAACCTGACTGACTTCAGGAGACACTCCTGGAGTTCTAGTGAGAAGTCGTTACCAGAGGAGTTCAACCAGGTCTATTGTGAGATAGGAACTCACTGAAGACAATGGTGTACGGTGGCGCAACTTCGTGGATTGGTTGAAGTTAGATATTAACACCAATGGATGCCGATTCAGTGGCCTGGCACTAGACTGACAGGTCCTGGGTTCGAATCTCGCGGGGTGCAGGATCGTGGATGCGCACTGCTGAGGAGTCCCATGCTGGGACGAAACGGCCGTCCAGTGCTCCCAGGTTTTCCATAGTGGTCTAGCTTCGATTGGCTCATGATTTCAACTAGTGAAAATATATACGTCATAAGAAAATCTTTTTAATAGTACCTCTAATTTCAAGTTGTTAATAGATTTAGATTGTAGTTAGTGATGGAATACTGGAGGAACGTTTAATGTTGTTTAGTATATCCACAACAGATAAATCCTATAGACTTCTTTGAAGACTTTTATCTATCTAACTTTTTTACATGAATATATCCTCAGTTTTGTTTCATGAAAACAAAAAAAATAAGAATGATTAGTTCAGTGAAAACAAAATTGAGACATTCTTAACATAAAGTTGATTATTTCATTGTTTCATTACTTGTTTGTTTGTTTGTTTTTTCTTCTTTTGTATATTGATGAAGATTATCATTGTAAGTTTTTATCAACCCCCCCCCTCCAAAATAGAAAACAGTAACCTAAGCTAACTAACACCATGCCTATTTCACTTAATTTCAATGTTCATACGTATAAATATTTCAATGATTTGTATACTGCTTATTTAATCATTCAAATGCGGGTTTATTATTTGATAACACAATTGGTAAAGGCTTCAAAACGATAGGATTAGAATACACATTATTGTTATTATTATCGTAAAGTGGGACCTATAAAATTCTTTAAATGGTGTTTGTAGAATTTTCAAGATCGACTCATTTTAAAGTCAACTTGGTGATTGACACAAATATCAAATATACTATTCTTTAATTCATTTGTATCGGTTGTTTGAATCTCTCCATTGATGTTAGTAACTGAAATTGAGTCCCAGAGTGAGCATCTACTCTGAAATGCAGGTACAAATAGCGGACGAATCCTAAAGAGGATGAAACGCGCGCCCTGGTTTTCACTTGTATCCATTATCCATTTCTTCTTATTATACCCTTCGTTTCCGTTTACTAACTTACTTGTTGACTATTAGTCCAAAGCTTATTTCAATCACTTACCGTACAGTGTAGAACAAAGTAAATTTTCATTGCTGAAATCAGCAAACTAGAAACAAAGACTAATAAAAATCGGGATTTAAAGTTTCAGAATAGACAGTTCGTAGCTAGTTATGGGATTTATGATGCTCGTTCTATCGTATATGGGACTCATCAGCTGGATCTACATCCATCTCAGTTTTTTAACCTTTATTAATCATGATATTAGGATTCAGAGGAAGATTTCATGAAAAGATAAACAAATTCACCTGTTCTAATATGTCCTATTCTGAGCCCTACCACTTAGTATACAGTTATAAATTTCAATTATCTCATGAGACTCCAACAAAGGCGCTCATAAATCCCATCAAATAACTTCATAGACTGACTTTTTATTTATGATAGTCTGATGGTCTCCTTAACCTGTTTTACAGTTGCTAAAAATTAATAAACCAAATCAATATTCTGTCACAAAAATAGCAATGATTGAGTAGAACGTGGCCGTGAGCACTATTGAGTTGTAGCTCGCACGTTCAATCTGATGTTTCGATTTTGCATCGAGAATACTTGAAGCTCCAAACATATCTCATTAATAAATGTGTAAAAAGTATAAAATCTTAGCCTTTTCCCTTCTCCTCTTAGACATCTTATACTTAGATTATCAACTGTATTCGTTACGTAACAACCAATTAACTCATAATTAGGCTACTTAAATAAGGATCGATATTCATGGTCTAAATTTGCTCACTTGTCAATCATCATCTCACTGTAACTAAGTATTTTACTGCATAGAATAAGAGTAAGTTTTGTAACAGTGATAATCTCTGTGTTATTTGATTTTGGGTAGTTGGAGATAAACGGTAGGTATCCGCGAACCTGGTTTTCATGCTAATTGTCACTCATCATCAAGGTGTACTGATGGTTCATGTTGAATTTGAGCTCAGGTTACCCAGATTTGTTGTATAAAACGTTGCCGTTGAGTTATTAAAACAGCAACTTACCTTTATGATTGGGACATTTGCACTAGTTATTTAATTCTTAGTGTTGGTAGAATTCTATCAGCCAGGTTGTAATGTAACTAGTTTTAGATAGACACGTTTGTCTGGGTTTTTTGTGTTTTTTTCTGTAATGGTCATTGTTATGAAATACCTTTATGTGCCATAATTTAATTTACAGCAGCAACCACCTCAACCATTGCGAACTGGTTTCTTAATGTGGAGTCATTTTAATAATTCATGGTCTACAAAATCACCTATTCGACTACCGAAATCTTCCGTACAGTATCGTTCTGTTGATAAAAGTTCTGAAATACGAAAAGAATTGCTTCGTGATATTGGTCCATTTAACTCTAGCAAATTTGCATGCAAAAACTCTTCTACAGATCCCGTAGACAATCATCATGATTCAAATACCCAATCAACTTCTAATTCACTGCCTCACATCAACAATCGATCGTTCGATTCATCAATTAATATAGAATCGACAAATCATAAATCATCATCTGCATGCCTATCTCGTTTATTTTGTGTTTTACAAACGGATACTTCATTCGAATTCTACGCTGCTCGTGCTGATACACGTGCAGTAGATAAAATTACTGTGATAGGTTTACGTTTATTCTACCTAGATGATAATTTCAATGATACATTTTCAAATCACAATGGTGATTTATCAACAATACAACAACCTACGCTGCATACTAAAGCACGAAGTTTTGATAATTCGTCTAATGTGAACAAGGATTTCCCTGAAAACACTATTGGGTCATTTAGACGGGAATATTCTAGATTATATAGACAAGGTAATCCTATATATCGAAACTGTAAACCTCCTCCACGGGATCGTAACATATTTGATCATGGATTTTCTAGTGAAACATCTAGTCTTTCAGACGTAACATCTTTATCGAAATCTTATATCAAACCATCATCAATTAGTACCTTAGAAGCTGACAGATTATCGAACCGATCTACACAATCTTGTAGAGAAAGATCCTCTAAAGAGAATCATAAAAATTCTGTATGTAGTTTTTCTGGTGATCAATCCAATGATGATGAGGGAATTGTAACTAACAGTGAAATAATAAAACATGTAGAAACAATCAGTCCTGAGATATTGGGTCTTCTGCGTAATAATTTAGGTTTTCTTCTGTTACCTTTAAATACAGACCGTCCAGCACATTATTTTGAAGCAACAACAGTAGAAATCAGAACACAGTGAGTCTATATTTTGACTTTATTTTTTTGGCTTTCAGCCTGTTTTAAAACTTTTTTTGTTGTGACTTGATGAGATCATTGTTTTAACAACATTTATTCTTTTAAGTAAATCAAAGAGTAGTTACTCACAGTGAGAATACTATATAAAAATGGTAAATCGATTGTTAATTCCATGATAATTCATCAACTGGAATTGCTGAGAGATACGTTAAATACGCCTGGAAGAAATCTAGGGCTTCCATACCGAGACGTTATATCACTTTAGTGTCAGGTTGTTGGAGCAAGCTGTATTTGGAGGTACAGATTACCTGTCTAAAGTTTGCTGAACAGTTCTGTAGTAGGAGACTGTTCAGATATGACTCGAAATTGGTCTCAGTTGCACTAATGTGTCTTACTTTTCCTTCACTAAATCTTCAATTAATTATTTTATTATTATTATTATTAGTTTTGTTCTCTGAGCTTAGAGAACAAAACTCTACCAACTAAAGCATTAAGTCACTGAAGCGGTATCTAAATATCAGCATTTTCAACCTCATTTAATTTACCTTTTGATCACCTTCATCTGTGTTAGCTACTTATGCGAATCTTAAAAAAATGCATTACAAAGCTAGTAAGTTCCGAAGTATAATTTACTCAAGCAGTTAGATAATGTTAATATAGTCAGAAATAAGACTATAATATGTTAATGACGTTTAGCCAGGGCGTCGGTATATCGCTAGCTGACTGGATTTAGGAAATGTACGAACTGATTCCAACTCTTTGGCCGATTAAAAAGTGTACTCTCCCCAAAACATTAGAAGCCTTCTCCTTGACCATAAGTGGAGTCATGGTCCTGTACCGTTAAGAACTGCTGGACAAAGAGGATTGTATGTTTCCAGTTTTTTGTCATTTTAAATAGTCCCTTAATTGATATCAGTCCGGTAATAATATCACTCAATGTTTTTTCTAGATCTTGAACTTCACTATTTCTTTATATACATACCCTCCCACTCTGTCTTTTTGAACCAATATTTAGTCTTTCTCATTATCATTGCTATCATATATTTCTTCGATCTCTTTTTCTGTTTATCTTGTCATCGTCATCTCATTGTGCTTATCTGTCATAGAAACGTGAGCTAACTCACCATTTTGCCAGACTTCACTATGATCATGACTGATTAACTCCGAGGAATTGTCCTTTCTTATTTTTAGTTTCATAAAATTGCTTTGTTTTAACAATTCCTGCAACGTAGTACCTAATCAATTAATTGCAAAGCAATTAACTGACTCTTTATTTTTAAGAACAAAAGACATTGACTAACACCTTTCTCAGTATGTTGTTTTCTAATCATCCAAGTTTACTTGTTTACTTGGATTAAAATATTTAGAGGTCAAAACAATTTCATCTTATCAATAAAGGTAATGGATCAACAACATATTTTTTGTTGTAAATAAGCAGGCTTAACTGTACTGATTTGCTTCTACCTTTTTCTTAAGGCTTTATTATCGTCAGTTCTTATCTCTTCATATTAGACGTGTTTAATTTCACAGTATAATGTATTATTAATGTTTATCTTTTTATGAATCACTTCAACCCTCTTTCTCTCTCTCTACATTTCACTCACACATACATGCACACACATTCACATCTCTAAACGTTTCTGTATTTATTTCTTTACTTTCTCAGATGGATCAATTCTATTCGTCGTGTTTGCATAGATTTCATGTCCTCTCCGCCTTCCAGGTGAACAAGATAGAGAGGTGAATGCATCTGTTACCATCTATCGGTCAATATTTTTGGATAGAAATAACAAATAAAAAGTTGATTTTATCAGATTATCTTGTAAGATGTTGTCTGTTTGTTTGTTTGTTTATTTTTTTTACCTCTCTTATTCTTTCAGTATGTTGCGTTACGTTACTTACAAGTAGTATGTTTATTTTTTTATGAATATAATGAAATTGTGACTCAATTTCATCTTGTTGTCATGGCGTCTCTGTTCCATGAATTACTTTTCTATATTGTTTTTATTCCTCATACTGATGAGTTATGGTTTTTTGTAAACTGGCATAAGTTCGAGTCTTTTCTACTATTTATAGTAATTTTATTTGATTTTTTTTAAAGTGTTTTTTTTCTTATTCTACCGTACTTTTGATTGTTTATATTGTGTTCTTTTCTCCCTCACATAATTGAATATGATTTTCTTTTTGTTTATTCCAAATTTACTTTTAATGGATGGATGTAAATGGGAAAGTAAGATAATTCTATGCTATTTCTAATAGTCTATGTGGTTAGAGATTACTGGAATATTGGGTTTCTTTAATTTTTTTCGATTTTCAATCTGATTATGGGTCATTCATTTTGTTGAATAAGACTTTTTTTGGAAATAATTAGTGTCATTTTAATGATTTTGATTGATATCCAGTACTTTATCCAGTACCGTAAACTTTGTTATAACTTACTGACTGATACAGAAATACAGTTCTACAATGTTGAGATGATATTTTTTGGCCTACTGATCTGACTACAATTTTGTTGTACAACGATGTTAACGAACTATACATCCTGGCTACACTCGTAGATAACAAACGATTTATTTCGCGTTGAAGAATAACAGAATAAACTATTCCAAATATGAGAATGAACCCTGAATACGTATAATTTCGCACACATTTTGATTCATACAAATAAAGCGGAGAAGCAGACCGGAGAAGGCATGTGTGCCAACTAAATTTGATAAAGTGTGATTAATATTTATATCCATAAATAAATAAGCTAAAGATAATTGATGAATAGGGTAAGTGGTACACACATGCGCTCATATAAAAATAGTCAAGGTTAGTTAGCTAATAAGTGACCAAGTCAAAATAAAACTCCAGAAGAATAAATAAGTTAGTCTGTTCGGAGGCTAGAATAATCTGTATGGACTTGACATAGTATTAGACACGACAAACATGTAGACTAGTTTATTAAACGACGAAAAAACATCCACGACAAAATATAATTATTTTTTGGTATCGCGCACTAACTTGAACTGAACAGTCACTAAAAACGAGAAAGCTCTGAAGAGCCACTTCTTACAAGTATGGGTATCTTCAGAAAATTGCGTCAACTACCTCAGCATTCATCGGACAAAGAATATTCAAGCTTTTCTTAGAGCTGTTAACCTTCAGAAAATTAGGCAGTCTGAATCTTCTGTAATACTAAAATATAATTGCATTCTAATGTCTACTAGCTTCAATGCAGTTTAATTCCGGATTGCTTTAAATGAGACTTTCTTCAGCAATGTAGTTTTTAATGCAATCATTGTTTGTATTTCTCAATTTATTTCATAATCTCGACTATAGAGCTTTGAAATGTACAGTGAAAACTAACACATACGTATTATACTGCCCTCCATGGCCGGTGACGACTGATCCACCAAATGAGGAGGAAGTCCGCAAGGAACTCCAACTCTTGAAGCGTTACAAATCACCTGGCCCAGATGACTTACCTCCGGCTCTTTTTAAAGATGGTGGTGACTTTTTGACTAAGGAATTGACGACGTTGTTTACAAAGGTTTGGGATCTAGAGAGTGTACCAACGTCATGGAATGAGTCGATAGTTGTCCCTATCTTTAAAAAGGGTTCACGTCGTTCTTGTAACAACTATCGGGGGATAAGTTTACTTCCGATTGCGTCCAAGCTATTGGCTTCCGTCATTCTTCGTAGGTTGTTCAAAACCCGAGAAAGATTGACTCGCGAGGAGCAGGCTGGGTTTCGTTCTGGTCGAGGATGTATTGATCATATCTTCACCCTCCGCCAAATGTTAGAACACCGCCATACTTTTCAAAGGCCAACAATCGTAGTGTTTCTTGACATCAGGGCTGCCTTCGATTCGTTGGATAGGACTGTTCTCTGGGATTGTCTATTGAAGAAGGGTGTGCCTGAGAAGTTTATTAACATCCTAAAAGCCCTGTATAAAAACACCTCAGGCAGAGTGAGGGCATACAACCACCTCTCTCCATTGTTCCATTCGAGCAGTGGGGTTAGGCAGGGTTGCCCAATCTCACCATTCCTCTTCAACTTTGCCATCGATGACATTCTGGAAACAGCTCTGATGAATGTAAGTAATGGTGGTGTGGATCTGTTGCCTGGAGAAAGACTTCTCGACCTTGAGTATGCGGACGATATTGTCTTACTGTGCGATAATGCCCAAGGCATGCAATCCGCACTTAATCAGTTGGCAATCAATGTCCGTAGGTATGGTATGTGCTTTGCACCTTCGAAGTGCAAAGTACTTCTACAAGACTGGCAGGATTCTAATCCTGTACTCACCCTGGACGGTGAGGAGATAGACGTCGTTGAGAAGTTCGTGTATCTGGGTAGCTGCATAAGTGCTGGTGGGGGTGTGAGTGATGAGATCAATGCACGAATAGTGAAAGCCAGAGCGGCTTATGCCAATCTGGGCCACCTTTGGCGCCTTCGTGATGTTAGTCTGGCTGTAAAAGGCCGGATCTACAACGCGTCGGTGAGAGCAGTTCTGCTCTATGCTTGTGAAACCTGGCCTCTCCGAGTTGAGGACGTTAGACGACTCTCTGTGTTCGATCATCGCTGTCTTCGAAGGATTACTGACATTCAGTGGCAACACCATGTCAGTAATGCAGAGGTTCGGCATCGTGTGTTCGGGCACAGAGATGATAACTCAATTGGTGTCACCATCTTGAAACACCGACTTCGGTGGCTTGGACATGTTCTACGAATGTCGTCCCAGAGAATTCCACGTCGTGCGTTATTTGCCGACTCTGGGACTGGTTGGAAGAAGCGGAGAGGTGGTCAGTGCATGACATGGTGTCGTGGCATGAAAGAAAGCTGCAAAGGACTGGCTTGTGTTGGTCCTTCGCGACTCCCTGGATGGGGTCCGAGAGATGGTGCTACACAGTGGCTATAGACGTTATCAGATATGGCTCAGAATAGAAGCCAGTGGCGATCCTGCTGTAACCTTCTTTTACTTTCTTCATAAAAAGTGGTTGTGTCTCCTTTACCTGAAAAATTTCTTCTGATTTTACCTCTTCGTCATTGTTCTCTTTTTCTTTTGCGTTCCTTAGTTTTTTTTTCTTCTTTCTACTTCTCTTCGAATTCCCATTGTTTTGTGTGGCGCATATATATTGGCGCTCTCTTGTACCAATATTTATGTGTTCAAATAAATAAATACTTCTAAAAGATATTTAGTAACAGTCCCATCAAAACGTTAAGTTAACCATACATTTAAAATTAGGCATTGTCACATCTCGAAGATATTGGAAGTGCTTGTCAGTTGAAGCTGTCAATTTTACATGACTTTTCATGAAAAGCAATGAGTTCATCACATTTTCTTTTCAGTACAAGATTATTGAATGTTAGAACTGTAAAGTTGCTGAAATTGTGTACTGATAGTCTAAAATAAATTTCTAAGCCTAAATCATTTCATATTGATTGATTACTATCCTAGTGACTAAATTTAGTCAAGTTTTAATTCGTTAAATGAGTGTTGTCAGTTATTTCAGAACTGTTGCCTCAAATCTCCAATTATTTTATGTTTGTTTGAATAACTATTTAGAACAACATAGATATATAAGCGAACAATATTGTTTTCCATTAGATCCTCATCAGGCTTTACTCTAATATACAGTAATATTCATATGCATTTCTTATTACTTCATCTTATAATTTTATAATTGTTACCTCAGTTTCTATATTTTTTCTAATCACTGACCTATTTCCGATTATGTAACATTGATATGAACCTTTATTATTATTGCTTATCAAAAACTAATGCACCTGTTGTCACACCATCAATTTGTACTTTTCACATTTTACTTATTATGTAATCGTTTTCATTGTTATCATCATTGACTTATAAACTACCTTGATTGGTTTAATTCATTTCGTACGTGCATATATAAATACATTACTGTATATTAGAGTAAAGCCTGATGAGGATCTAATCGAAAACAATATTGTTTGCTTATATTATCTATGTTGTTCTAAATTTACAGTATGGGAATATTTCAAATTTTGAATAACTATTGTCCAAAAAGAAAAAAAAAAAAAACTGATAAAAAATACACTGTATTCAGACTATATGGCATAGTTATTATTTGGTACGATCTGTGTTTGATGGTACTGGTGTAAGTATATTACTGGATTATATCCGTTGTTCAGCATAACTAGTATACGACTTTCAAACAATGTAGGATTGCCTACTGACGAAATCAAAATATGATCTTATGTTTTTATTGGAATAACAATTTTGAACGATCTTTGATGAATGAAATTCAAATTTTAATCGCTGGAAAATTCCCATTATATGAAAACACAAGTGTATGGACAAGGAATATTATCTCATATCCAAATGAATAATTCATCAAATTGGTCAGATTTAACACAGAGAGTACATCATCATTTGGAAATTGTGAATATGTGAATTAAAAATTGTTGTTTTTGTTATATCAAATCAAATCAGTTCAAATCGTTAATGTTGAGGCTGTTTAATATAAAGTGTTCACTTGAATCCGTTTTATAAGTGAAATGAAATTGTGAGATAAATCATGATCAGAATAAATATGGTCAACATGGGGTAAGAGAGAAACTAATGGAATAAAAATCGGAAATTACGTAATATGTAGAATAATATGAATTAGGTCAGATATAGTAGATTTAAGGGTGGATACTAATTGAATTCCTCAAAAGGTTATCAAGTGTAAAGATAATAATAATAATAATGATAAAGATGATAATCACAGTGGTTAAGATAATAATAATAATAAGTTTGGGGCATAAAATGAACATTAATCGGATTACGTCACCATATTATAAAATTAATTATTAACTAGTTGGCCAGGGTAAAAGGAGTGGCTGAACATACTTCTTTTGGATGCAAAGCTCTGCCTTTTTGATCCGAATCGCAACTGCTTCAGCCGTCTGTAGAATTCGCAGTCTGACGGATTTAGGTAGACTGTTGTTAACACGATAGATTATTGCAAAAGATTGCTCCATGTTGGCTGTATGTCCTGTTTGAACTAGATGGTCTAAGATGGGGTTGTTAACAGTTCTGACTACACCTTTGCTTAACCACACGGGGAGGTGCTGACGAGCTCGAATGCGCAGATTCCTAGAACATCTGCGAATATAATTTGCTCCACAGGAGCAGTTGAATTGATAAATACAGAAGAAGGTGGCTAGCCTAGGTAATTTATCTTCCAACCTCGGAGTGATTAGTGGTCGTGTGGAGAACATTAGTTGTAGTTTACCCGCATTAAAAGTCCTTTGAATTGATCTGCTTAACTTAAGTCTTAGCATTTCACTCGGTGCATCGCCTCTGAATTGTAACCGTAGATACAGAGGCTTTTTATTTACAGTTGTGCATTTTCTATGCTGTCTTTTATTGGCTATGTTTTTATTTATAAATTTCTCGGGATGTCCATTTTCCTTCAGGGTTATGTATAATGACTTCGTTTCATCTTCAATCGTATCC